ATATTTTATATTGTCACGTGTTGGTGTATAACGCGACAAATAATTTCACGCCTTGCTTGATATAGCGAATTTTATTTCACATTCGCTCCTACAATCACACAAATTACAATCTGACGATTACTGCCATCGGCAGTATCACAAATACTAGACTGCAAATGCTAGACTACAACTGAAAGGTTGACTGCCTGGCTAACTTGTAACTATCTCGTAAACTCGAGAACTTGAGAATTAACTCGTGAACTCATAACTCGAGAACTAACTGTGAATAGTCTTCGCTGCTCCTTATTTAGCCTCGTTCTGGACAACACAGAAAACAGCCACGTAATAGGCACCACTGTTGTCTGGCGCCGTGTTGCTAGCAACGCTGTCAGGAGTTGTTTCCTGCTGTGTAGCAACGGTGGCATCCCGTGTTACGTCACCGCAGGGAGAGGCAGGGTGTTGACTGGCTTATTACCGTAGCAACGGCAATGCTCCGAAAGTGTTACGTCACCACTGGCAGGGTGAGGGGTTGTCCCCCATTGCACAACACGTCACAATATTTTGAAGTGTGGCCCTGGACTATTATTTATAGGGCTGAGGTGGCCTTCTGTACAAGCTGAGTTTGACATGCCCGGTCTAAATGCTCTAGACTGATATTCAGGGGGTGCAGGTTTGAATCTCAGCTGGAACAATGGCTATCCTGACTGAGTCCTTTCAAGATTTCCTTCAATTCCTCAGGAAAATGCATGGATAGTACCTCAATTTAGGCTACAGCTGCTGCTTTGCAATTCATCATTCATCTATCATCTCACCATCTGACTCTGTAATCCAGCCACTGACAGTGTTGTAAAATAACTCCCACAGAAGAGGATGTGAGGCCTACTTATCCTGTCATCATGTAGAAAGCACAAGGAGAGAGAGAGCATACTAAGTTTTTGTATAAATATCTGAAGGAAGGGGATCACTGGGAAAGCCTAGGCACAGAAGAGGATAATATTAAAATGAATCTTAAAGAAATGGGATAGTAAGGTGTGGACTGGATTCATCTGGCTCAGGAGAGGATTAATGATGAACACAGTAATGAAACATCACGTTCCATAAAATGCTGGGACTCCCTTAGTACCTGAGTAACTGTTAGCTTCTCAAAAAGAATTCAGCTCCATGAAGTTAGTCAGATGGTTAGGTCATCCTACAGTGAAGGTGCATTATTAACTGAGTACTTCATATTTTTGTTATCAGAACTGGAAAATTAAAAGACTGATGGAAGGAACAGATGAATGCGGACTACAAGCTATTAAGGCTTTCAAATATCATATGCAATGTGGAACTGTAATACTTTAAATNGCCTAGGCAGAATACTTTTTAAGAAAACTGACATTTTTAACAAAAATAAACACACATACTTGAACGGTCGGACTGTAACCGCACTACCATTACCTCTCTAGTAAGGGTTTCTTCCTCTTTCTGAAGGTCTCTCTTCACTCTAAGAAGAGTCTCATACTTCAGATCTCCAAGACTTTTCTCAAGATCTTCAATTTTCTTTTTTAGATCATCAGCTTCTACCTCTTTACTTCGCAATTTAAGGTTATCTTCCAAATCCCGTTTCACCATCTAAACAGAATATTCAGTTCCTCTGTTAATCAAACTGGCACCAATATCTGAGCATGGCTTTCTGTATTTAGATTATTGAAAGTACATTCATTTCAGCATCTCACTGCAGGGGCTATTCGCCGTGACACCATGAAGTCTGGTAGACACCTAACAGAGTACATAGCATCACATCCCAAGGAACAGCAAATCTTCATTACCATCTAAGAAATAATAATGATTTACTAAGAAATATTAATAATCATTACTTCTTAAACAGCACACAAAGTCATGAAAAACACTAATAAGATGTAGGTAAAGGTGTCCCTGTAACAGACCATGGAGGCCCATAGGGTTGTGAGACATTGAGGCTCCCATATTTTCTAGACAGATGGAAGTGAGGCTGTCAGCCTTATGCACCAACTGCTCCTTAACCCCAGGAAGATTCCAGTAGTCATTTCTGCTAGAGGCTGAGGCGACCCTGGGGCCATAGTCCAGCTGGAAGATTAAGTCAATCAAAAAATCCAATGACCCCATCAGGAATCGAACCCATGACCTTCCAGCTTGTAGCACAGTGCCTCAACTAAGGTACCACGTGCCCCATCGAATAAAATGTAGAATGGACATCCTGAACAGATAAAATCACCATTTCTCACTCTTTATGGTAAAGTTGTCCCCGTGCTTAATTAATGAAGCACCATGCCATGAAGATGTATAGGGGAGTGGAGGTATAGCTCAGTCATTCTAGGCCTCAGCACTGTATGGAGGTGAGTGGTCAGCTTCATACTCATGGCACTTTATCCCCCAAGGAAGAGCCCCTGGTACCACTGGATAGAAGGTTAGGTGGGCCTCAGGGCCATCTCGACAGGCCATCACAACATTGACTGAACTATACCACCTACTCCTCACTCCTCATTAAGACAACAAATTTATGATGGATCTGAGAATTAGACATTTCAGTGCAGGGTGCACACAAAGTAACTTTACAACTTCTAAGGCCTGTTAAAAGACAACATGCATCATTTTCTTAAGACATACTAAATGTGTATGAATCTCGAATTTTCAAGACAGAATCAAGAAAAAATTCCTCACTCATGATTCAAACATTGATTTTCAGTCCTGAACTTTGAGAATTTTCAGGTAACTGCCCTTGCTTTCCACAGCACTACATATACTACCTCATCTGTCAAAATTATAATGGTTTGAAGCGCTAGCATGAAACAATTTGTCAAAAGGGACACACTATTCATTTCTGTGCACTGAATAACTGGTTATTGTTACAAATTTGGATTACAGTGAAAATCTGTCTAGCAGAGAACATACTCATTTTCATTTCATCATCACACATGCCTACTATATACATTACCTGCTGGTTGGCTAGTTCATTGTGCATGTCAGCAATCTTTGTCTTTATGTCTTGCATTGATTTCGAAGTAGTATCCTTAATTGTTTCTAGATCATGCAAGGACTGCTGAACTCTAGCCAGCATTTTGTCTATTCCACGCTGTTCAAAATCCTTGATGCTGTTTTGGTGCCTGTGTATTTCACCAATCTGTTTCTGATATTCTGAAAGCTAATAAAAATAAGGTAGTGAATATCACGATTTCCACTTTGTTACTCCTGCCACATAAGTACAGACAGATTCACTACCACAAAATTAGCACAAAAGCATACATATGCACATTTCTGATAAAAGAGAAGCAATTCAAAAGTGCTCATGACATCCATCAGTTAAGCCACACACGTACTGCATGTTATCGCCACCCACCGTGCAGTGACATCTGCTGGCATCTTGCCCGTACAATAGTGAATGAATGTTAGAGCACTTAACATGTCTGCCATGATGTCAATCTCCATTACACACATTTTCTATTAAATTCAAACCTAAAGTAATTCTTTAACAATTATAAAAGACAAGTCCATCCAGTGTGACTATTTCAGTTATCTCACTTGATGATTCACTAGCCTTACATGTTTCGATCCATTTGGATCATCTTACACAGCACAGCGGGCCAAGAAATCATAACGAATATTAAGAATCTCCCTACTCAAGTTACATAGGAGGCACAACATTGGCCACCTTGAAGAGGGACGACGGGGGTTATTGACACGAACCGTATGGTTTATGAATTTTAATTTTTAACAAAGTTTTTAAAACTTTAAAACAACTTTAAATATTTCTATAACCAGAAAGGCTGCTGTGACTGATAGGTGGAACATTGTGTACTTGGCAATACATGTGTATTTGATTGACAACCGTTGTGATAGTGGTTTCCAAAAAGTGTTTGGTGCCTCTGAAGATGATCCAAATGGATCGAAACATGTAAGGCTAGTGAATCATCAAGTGAGATAACTGAAATAGTCACACTGGACGGACTTGTCTTCTATAACTGTAACTGTTAGTGTGACGGACCAAAATGAAACAAATCTAAAGTAATGCTTTAAGGTAACTTTAAGGTAACCCCACTGTTCCAGCCACATACTCCATTGTATTAAGTAAATATAAATATACAAAACATTTCTTCCATGCACTCTAGTGATAAGGTCTGAGAATGGTACAAGACGGATGCCAAAATCTGTAACATTTTGCATTACAAACGGAGTTGTTCAACTGAGACCCTTAACACACATCAAGAGATATGTTACCAGTTCTGTAACCACACCATATCTTCCGCCATTTTACATATTACAGGAAAGGTCAAAGCTGATGTGGAGCGAGTCAGATGGGTGTGTGTGTGTGTGAATCATACCTGGTTTTGTTCTTTTGATAAAATCTCCTTGTTTTTAAGTCTTGTTATATCTTTCTCCTTTGTTGCTGTGTCAAAATTCCTTCTAGATTCTCCCAACTTCTCCTGCAGACCAACCATTTCCTCATTTAAAACAGCTTCTCCTTCTTGAAGCTCGGACTGCCTCTCCTCTAACTGGTTGCGCTGTCGCATGCCACCTTCAACCTAATTGCAAACACAACACAGTAGTTATTTACAGTTACAATTATACATGACATACTAGAATTCTTTTCATATTATGTAAAAACTTCCTCATTTTAATAAATATATAATATTCACACATACAAATGTTCCAGTGCTACCAAGCCAGGTATTATGTGAAATAATTAAAAAACGAAATACCAGTCTATGTTATTTTAAGGATTTTTACATGAATGTATTTTTCTCAAGGTCTGTGGCTCCATGGGATTTTTTCTTTTTTTGCTTAAACAGATTCTGAAAGAAACAGGCACTATGGGGGAGAAGTCCTTGCATGTATGCAAGTGAAAACACTTTTGCAGGAAAGTAATAAATTAACAAATATTTGCAGCAATTATTCTAACCCAACAAGAGAAGCAAAAATCAATCTAGTCATTGTGACATCAACAACATAGTTCACAATGAACCAATTCTCATTCGCATGCATGGAGACCCACATTAAAACTAATTAACCAGCCTATAGTTATAAACAGTTACCAAGATACTTCAGAATCATACTGGATCCTATGCTGTCTTTTATGAAACAGAAGCATAACCATTTTAATAGAGCATAGAAATTCCATAATATCTTGAAAAGTATATCTGGAAGGTACTAGATTCATGGTAAACAGAGAAATGATAAAGAATATTATATCATTTCAACCATATAATGAGAAAAATTTGTAAACTCAGAATGAAAGAGAAATACCATAATCTGACACTAATTAATATGCAGGCCCCAACCAAAGATGCACCGTTAAGAGTGTAAATCACCAATAGCACTGATTACCTGCAGTCCCAAGTTGTGAACGTACAAGTGACAATAAATCCCATCACCCAACCCAAAACCAGTCTTATAACTTATGCACGCACCCTAAATCACGACAATATCTAAACTTCTCCCTCTCTACACTGTCTCAGAGATTGCTCACTTCACACCAAGGGCTAAGATCACCCCAGACTCACATCAAAATTCCTACAGTGTGACACATGTATAAGAGTAGCTGTACAGCCACGTTCAATTCAGCTGCAGCACATCCCAGACATGTGAGACAAGCGAGGGAGTTATGACATTAGTCAGTTAGCTCTCAGTTCAGTGACAAGAAAGACAAGGAAAGAAAAGGGGAGAGCAGTCAGACAGCAGTGGCATGTGGCACCTGAGTGGTTACAGCTGGCATGGCACTAGCTGCTACAAATACTGATAAATGTTAGAATACAATACAAAACCAAAATCAATAAAACTCAACATCAATGGGTCCAGAATCCTAAGTGGAGATTCTGATAACAGTGTTAACATTAATGGCTTTTTTTACTTATTTATTGTTTATTTAATGATGCTGTCAATAGCTTGGATTATATAGCATCATCAATAGGATAAATAATGAATTGCGAAGGATGGGGAAAGAAGTGGTTGTGATCTAATTTGAGCTGCTATGTCAGTATTTGCCAAGAAGGATTTAGGATAACCGAGAAAAACCTGTCAGGACAGCCAGTGTCCTGAACGAGAGAAATCCACATAGCTCCCAAACCTAAGCCAGCAGCACTGGCACTTGAGCCAACTTGCTCAGTACATTAACAAAGACAGCAAGGAAAATTAACTTCTTAAAATTAAAGATAAGAGATGTTCTACATTTAAAGGAAAATGAAGTGCAACAAACATTGCTTTAAGGCATCTAGAAAAATGAACCACAGAACGACACATTTCTTTGGATTCTTCAGCAGCACGACTATATCCAATAGTAGGCTTTGGTATTAGAGGTGTACATTCTTTAGGTACTGCCATCAGAGAGTTAATTAGTTATACCTTGAAAGATTCCTCTGTCAATCGGTTTTTCTCATCCCTGAGCTCATGTAGTCTCTCTGTGTGTCTTGTTAGCTTCTGCTGTGAATCTTCTATCACACGGCGGATCTTACTAACTTCTGATTTTAGCTGTTCCTGCTCATTCAGGGCTTGCTGCATGCTCCTTGATGATCCTGTAATCAGAAACTGTAATTAACTATGAAATTACAAAGACTGCACACTGAAAACTAATAGTTCCTCACACAGTCAAGAAATTTCTTAACTTTTGTGGACTCTAAAAAGTTCACTACTGTGTTCAAAAAGCCTGTCACTGGTCCCTACCTTCTTCAGATCAATCAAATCCACGTGCTTACACTGCATTACTTTCACTTCTTGAGAAACCAGTAATTACTCAATTGGTCATGAAATTCCCCATCTTTTATGAAATCCGAAAGTTCAGTAAAATGTCTGCAAGGGCCTTCCACCAATCCCTACTCTGAGACACATGAATGTAGTCCACACTCTAGACACCCTATTTCTTCAGGATCCAGCTTATATTATCCTACCACCTACCCCTGGTCCTCAAGTTGTTCCATTCCTTGAACCTATGTGACCAAAACTCTGCATGCATTTCTTGTATCTCCCATCCTTCTTGATTAACTCACCCTAATATTATCTAGTGAAGATACAAATTATGAAACTTTTCATTACAAACCTTTCTTCAGCCTTATTTTCTCCCCTCTTATGTCCAAATATTCTCCTCAGCACCCTGTTCTCAAACACCCTCAATTTAGGGCATTTTCTTACAAAACAAGTGAAGTTTCAGTTTTGAATATTCTGTGTTCAGTACAGTCAAGAGCAGAAGCTCATTCCTCCTAACACCATTAATATCTAAAGTACAGAGTGCTCATGGGGGTGAGCATGGCTTCAAAGACAAAAGAGAATGGAAGTTACTGCATAATAATCAACCCACAAAAGGGAAGATGAACCGACACATCTGCCATGACTACTCTATGCCTTAAATGTGAAACTGTTTCTCTTCACCTCTAACAGTTATTAAATCTCTTTATTTTTTATTTATTTATGGCTTTATTTCATGACGCTGCCCACAAATCAAATTGTAGCACTGGATGACAGAATTACATAAGTATGATAAACTGAAAGGGACGTGGAAGCAAGCAGTCATAGCCAATTTTGAGGCACAATCCTGACATCTGTCTGGAAGAACGGGGGGAGAGTAACAGAAAACCTCAGTTTCTGCACTGAGATACGAAACTGGGATGTTACAAAATCGGGCAGAAGTGCTACTACTAGGCCATGACATTCAATATTATTTCGTTATTACCACATTTATGAGTAGTAAACATGCTACATAAAATTTAACTTTCTTGAAGCAAAATTTCATTGCTGTTATTATTAATTAAAACAGCCATCTTCCAAATCTAGATAATGTGACATGCATGCACTTTTGTTTCATGTCAAAACTCAGGTTTAAGCCATTTGAAAACAGAGAAAAAAAAGAAGAGAATATGAAAATCAATAGTAGAGCTGTTCAATGATACTTCCTAAAAATTAATTGCATTCTTGAGACACCTAATACAGAAAGTGAATTAAATGTGTATAGTTGTCAGGTGAAGTGGCTGGCAAAGGTAGCAAACTGGATCATACTTACATGTTGCCGCACGATTACCACCAAACACATTACAGTAAAAATAAAAAATTAGAAAACTGAACTTCTTCCACGTACTTCCTGCTGGCAGTTTTTCTTCCAGCCGATCAATTTCGCGCTGCAGTTTTTGAAGTTCTATGTAATGCTGATCCAATAATACAATATCAGGTTGAACTTTCTCTGCCATCACCTTGTCAGCTTGGGGCTCCATTAATGTGGACTCTAAACCCTCAACATCAATTCTCAAGTCACTGAGCTTCTTTTCAGTCTCTTCCAGTTCAGTTCTGGAATTCAATAGTTTGTTAATAATGACAACATGTGTGTGCACTAGAACAAAGTGCAAAAACAATTTATCTGTGGAACTACATGCAGTCAACACTACACACTTATTCGTTTTAGTTCATGTTCTTGGACAGACTGCATGAATCAATATTAATTCATACAGTGCATTTAGATGCAGACTTGGAAACAGTACCACTTATTTTGACAGGGCACGCGGTAGTGTAGTTGGTTCAGGCACTATGCTACAAGATGGAAGGTTGTGGGTTCAAGTCCTGATGATGTCATTGGATTCTTTTTCAATTGACCTAATCCTTCCAGTTGCACTATGGCCCTGGGGTCAACGCAGCCTCTAACAGAAATGAGTACCAGCAATTAATTAAATAATTTTCCTGGGCAGTAAAGCCCAGCTGGCGTGCAAGGCTGACAACCTTACCGCCATCTTTCAGCCGATTGTCTAGATAATGTGGGACCCCTCAACGTCTCACAACCCTATGGGCCTTCATAGATTCTTAGTACTGTCCGTGTTTATTCAGACTAAGAATCTCCTTTCTCAAGACAGACAGGCAGCACAAGATCAGCCACCTCCAAGAAAGACAATAGGAGAATTAACACGAATCTGTATGGTTTATAAAAGTTTTAATCTTAAACAACAATGTTTTTAAAAAATTTTTAAAAATTTTAATACCAGGAAGGCTGCTGTGACTGTGAAAATTTGCACATTGTGTATATTGTGTATTTCAGACATTATATGTGTATGTATATAATTCAGCACCTATTGTAATAGCAGTTTCTGGAAAAAGTATTGACGCCCTCTGAGGATGATCCATAGGGATCGAAACATGTACGGGTGATGAGTTTTCAAGAGATAAAACTTAAACAGTCACACTGGATGGTGTTATTTTTGTCTTTGTAATTGTTAGTGTGATGGACCAGAATGAAACAAATCAAATTTGTAATATACAGTTTATACAAAATCCAAATTTCCTACAACTACAGCAACTGTCCTTGATGCATTAACGTTTTTAGAAACTTTTTGTTATTTAAGTTAAAATTCTTTAACCGAACTGGTTCGTGTCCATTGTACTTTTGTTTTTCTTGACAGGACCGAACTTGTGCCGCCTGTCTTGTCTTTTTATTTCTGTGTTCGAATATGAACCTCTAGTGACTAAATAAGCATTAGGTCATTCTACCAGCTGCTTATAAGTACATCAGAAATGCAACAGAATGAGTATGGCTTATAAAAAAACTTCATTACAACAAAAATCAACACTCTCAATTTCTTAACATTAATACAATGAAACACCCATTTAAGATATCTAAATGGGACCAGTGGATTGGAATGCTGATCTGATGAAAATTTAAAATGGAGATAAGGTAACACTGACAATGACTCGGGATCACTGCAATGGAACATCAAATGAAGGATAACAAACAAGCAACATCAGATGGGCATTCCACTGAATATGGAAAATTCTCATATAAAACGAAGGCAGTTTTCTGAAACTTTTATCATAATAGTCCTGGCCAGCCGCAGCTACAAAAAAAATTTGTGCAAGATGGGTGCAATGGAGACTCACTGAAAAGCATAAGAGCCAACATATGGGTGCTGCTTTGACAATTCTGTAGCATTATCACATAATGGAGACGCTCCGTAACAATTTCATGAATCAGTGAACAAGAAATTTGAGGAAATTTCATGAAATTCATCAAGAGTGAAACGCCTATTTGTCCTGATGTGTTGATCAGTCTTGTTCAAGTCATCAGTGATAAGGGATGGGTGCCAAGATCCTCCGCATTGTGAACATTTGTCCTGCCCTCATTAAACATTCGACACTGTTTTCGCACATCTGACTTGTTCATTAGAGCTTCCCCATATGCTGCAATAAGTTGACAGACATTCTGTGCATTCAGAAACTGAAATGCAGCTTGCACTTCACAATTGGCAGGATTCTTGGTTATCTTACTCACTTTTAAATACCACAAAAATATTGCAAAACAATAGAATGTGCACACTGTTCATGTGACTTTTTACTAAGACTACTGAGACCTGTTTACCTTGAAATGGTGCAATTCGTTGACCTGCGCAAGTGCTACGCGTAAATGGTCCTTACTTCCTGGACAACCCTTGTACATTTGGAGTTAACCTTGAGAGTATGATACTGGATAAAATTATGTATGAAGTTGATAGCAGTGATATGCCTCAACAATAACTACATGAAGACTGAATTTGAGTAATGCTTGCTGCCACTCAGTTCAGAAACTTTGGTCTTCTTGTCTGCCATCTTAAAAACTTAAAAATTTGAATATACAAAACTATAATGATGAATCTGGGTTGTCACAGGTGTGAAACTTGGTACTTGACATTCAGGGAGAAATACAGACTGAGGACATTAAGGGAGGAACATAGACTGAGGGTGTTTGAGAACAGGGTGTTGAGGATATTGGACCGAAGAGAGATGAAGTGACAGGAGGTTGGAGAAAACTGCATAATGAGGGGCTTCATAACTTGTACTCTTCTCCAAGTATAATCACAATGATGAAGTCGTGGAGCAAGAAATGGGCAGGCCATGTGGAGAACAGGAATTTATACAAGATTCTGGTGGAAAAGCTAGAAAGGAGGCCACTAGGAAGACCTAGACATACGTGAGATAACAATATTAAAACGCATCTTAGAGAGACAGGATGAGGTGGTATGGACTGGAGTGACCTTAATCAGGATAAGGACCAGTGGAGGGCTCTTGTAAACAGGGCAATGGTCCTGCAGGTTCCACAGTATGTTGGGAAATTCTTGAGTAGTTGAGCAATTGGGAGCTTCTCAAGAAGGGCTCGGCTCAGCTCTGTGGAGTTAGTTACATTTCATGTTTTATGAGACATGAACATACTTAAGGGTTGGAATTTCAGTTCTTCTGAAGGTGATGATAGATTCATAAGATGGCTTCAGCTCGAGCAACTTTTCATATTTCTTCTTCTCGCTCTCCAGCTTCTTGGCATTGTCATGCAGCTGTGCTGGAACCTCACGAACCTTGCTGTTGAGCTGTTCCAAAGAATACTTACAATTAGCGACTGACAGGAACATCAGTGGACACTCTTTACCTTACATACCAAACATAATAAAAAATACTGCACCTGTTTTTCAATTTGAACATTAAAAATAAGTAAAGTAAAAAAGTAAAGCTATCCCTGTAACAAGCTGTGAAGGCCCATAGGGTTGTGAGATGTTGAGGCTCCCACATTATCTAGACAATCGGCTGAAAGATGGTGGTAAGGTTGTCAGCCTTATGCGCCGGCCACACTCAGTGCAAATAATTCGCTAGCCAAGGTTATTTCACCAAATCAGAGCTTCTATACAGAACCACACAAACATCATAAGAAATGAAATAGTGTACACAGATGAGAAGTTCTAACCTCAAGTTCAAAATACAACGGCTCACCTCATTGACAAGTTCCCTCACATCAGCCTCTAAATCAAATCCTCTGTGACAAAGAGGACAGCACGGCTGGGGTTGTTGCAATTTCTGAACATAACGGCGAAACAGATATTCAGAAGATGACAATGTGCCTTTTTGGTCCTGGAAAATCAATATCAACAATGGAGTTTCAAGTTAATTTCCACAGTAAAATCTGCAAACAGTGAAACTGGGGGAATTCCCTTTCTCTAATTTATTACTTAGATATTATTCAGCTATTTCTTCAATATAAAGTAAAATTCATCAGTCTCTACCAACTTTTTAGAATTAAAAACATTACACCACACCAAATTTCTTGCCCTGTTCTACTTACTATACAAGGAAAGATGGGCTTGTGGGAACAGCACGATCCTGTATGTATGTCTGAATTGAGAGATTTCCATAAAGTCTTTACGTACATGAGACCTCCAGAAGCCATACTACCTCAGTACTATTTAATTTTTACTATAATCAGAAATCAGCTCTAACTACACACAGTGAAACACCCATTTGATGGGAGATCAGTGAATCTGAACACAGAACTGAGGAAATTTAAAACTTAAATTACTGACTTCCAATCACTGAAAACTGAATGTTAAATGAGAAAAACATTAAATGGGGCTTCAACTGCAGAATGAAACCAGGCACTGTGAATTTATCCCACTGTTGGTAGTGAGTACAGTTACAAAACAATTTCAACAGAAAGTCCTATAAACAGAAGTAGAGTACATATATTTTCCAAACATCATGTCAACACATTTATAACAAAAGATGCTACTCTTTAACCTTTTTGCACATCAGTGGTATGCCACGTTCATCCCGTGCACAGTGCGTATTTTCAGTAAGATCCAAAGGTTCTCTTCTCGATGCAACTTTTCACATACTCAAAAAATGTCATATATTCTCTGTACAATCGATAATATTTCATGGGGATACAATGAAAGGAAAAAACATGGTTACCTTGACACACACAAATATATATTGTGACATGTCTAACTGTTGCTGGGCAACGGGAGGTGGAATGATTTACCACGAAGACAGACTCTGGATAAACAATCGGCTGCCAGATTGTGCAACAATGGAAGCAACGTTATGCAACAGTAAGGAAAGCGGTGTTTTTCTGTGCTGTGCCTAGCCGAGCCAAAACGCACTGGTTGCTACACAGCAATAAACAACTCTCAGCAGCGTTCCGCAGCAATGACTGTAAACACGGCATTTACGCAAAAGTGAAGCCAGGTGAGTTTTCCGCTGTCCGACTGAGGGTTCATAAGAGAGATTGGAATGCGTAAGCAGTGAGTTGAAATGTAGCAGCCGCCAAAGCCAGTTACTAGAGAGAGAGAGTTACTAGCATCCAGTATGAGTTGAAGTCCAGCAGTCGCCGAGTTGAGTCGTATCAAGTGCATGGCAGGGACTCCAGCAGGAGAAGTAACTGTGATACTGAAGATGGCAGTAGTTGTGAAACTGTGAAATGTGTAAGTGTAAGAGCGAATGTGAAATAAATTCGCTAGATCCAAAACAGCGTGAAGTTATTTGTCACATTACCAACACCCAACATGTGACAATATAAAGCAAAGTAAGTAAAGCTATCCGTGTAACAGGCCGTGAAAGTCCATAAGGTTGTGAGACGTTGAGGGTCCCACATTATCTAGACAATCGGCTCAAAGATGGCGGTAAGGTTATCAGCCTTACGCGCTGGCCGCGCTTTACTCCCCAGGAAAATTATTTAATCAATTCTTGGTATTCATTTCTGTTAGAGGCTGAGTGAACCCCAGGGCCATGGTGCAGCCGGAAGGATTAGGTCAACTGAAAAAAATCCAATGACCTCATTGGGACTTGAACCTGCGACCTTCCGGCTTGTAGCATAGCGCCTGGACCAACTATGCTACTGCGTGCCCCCACATGACAGTACACATATACAGACATACCTGCAAATCCTGGACAATTTCTTCAGAACGTTTCACCACCTCCTCATAGTCCTGATTTCCACAAGCTTCATACACCATTTCTTCCTTCACTGTCAACAGAATTATCAGATTCATGAGCCTCAGTTTCTTGTGTGTATTGTACTGCAACAATAAAAGAAATATATCCACAACATACACACATACACAATATTTTATCCACCAGTGGCCTGCTTATTATATGACGCACACATAAATTAAATAAGAAATGTAGAAATTCAACTGGAAATACATGTCTTCAGGCAAGAAACTATTCAGAAATGTAACAAAAACTGAGTGGAAACTGGGTTAAATATTCATTCATTCATCAGTAATCTGTCAGACGACAGGTCCACGGCCTCTTCCAAAACAGTTTCTCCACTTAATGCGATCTTCTGTTTTTGGAAAGAGACTATCCAGGAAAAGTGATAATGTGGTAGTTTTTCCATTTGCTTTCCACATCGCAGTACAACAGCCGTTCAAACCACTCTGGTCACGCCTGTTGCTATACGAACTTGAACCATCTCGAGCATCATTTTCTCTGTGCTTCAAGTCGCCGCTGATGACGCTGCTTCCGGCATCAGTTTTCGGTGTCTCTCTTCGTCTGATGCCTACCCTTTGACCTGTCCAGCAAGGGAGGCCCTGCCAGTAGCTACGCTACCGCTGGTATAGCTCTCAGGGTCCTTGGCATACTCAAACACCCTCACCACGATAAGGTGGAGACACCAACAAGGGGGGGTTAAATATATGAATTGAAAATATAACAAGGGTGGATGAGAAATAAATGAGTAAATTCGAATATATAAAAATTACTATAGGAAAAACGACAAAGAGTAATAAAATTAAAATATAAAAATAAAGAATAAAATAGCTTTATTTATCTAGAATCAAAGTAAATACAGATGGAGAATATACGAAAGAAGTGTTTGCAGAAACAAAGAACACTCTAGCAGCAGTCATTAGCAGTGTTTGCAGCCACCTGATGCATCAGTAATCAGACCTTACATGGACAATGTTTATTTGACACAGGTTTTATGCTGTTGCTGCAACTCAGAGCCACATACACAGAGACTTCAGGAAACATCAGCCCTCCTCCTGCAGTACCTAGTAATTTACCATAATTTTTAAATGGATTCTCAGCATCTGTAGGACAGAGTTCGGAGATCACTGCATGAACAGTGGATGTGCGAAGCTACACACAAAATAATATTGTAACGTGTTTTCGTTACTGAAGACGCCGTAGAGACTGTTAATTGGTTTATTCAACAACCTACAAGTAACGGCTACAATTAATTATTACACAGTTGCGGGGTTTCACACTTTATAACCCTAAACGCATTAATCTGTTTACACTATTGCGGGGTTTCACACTTTAAAACCCTATGCGCAAATCAGTTCACTCTGTCTTCAGTAGTCTACACGTTTACAGTAGGAGAGCTTTGTATCACTGTATCACACGCTCCCAATTACACAATCACACACACGTCTGGTTCTTCTTTCCGCGACGGCTGCTATACTCCAACTGTAGTCGGCTGACTGGAGAACCGTTGATAACACACTCACACGTAGGCTTGCTCAGAACTAACTTGGAACTGTCTTCGGCGATGGCCACATTACAACTCAACTCGGCGACTGTTACTTTACAACTCACTCGCAGCCGCTGTGCAGCTCACTTATATAGCCGCAGTGCTTGCCTGTTGCGTAATTAGTGCCACGTCGTCCTGTTACGTCACCGCTGTTGACTCGCGTTGCATAGCTACTAGGTTGCGGGGGCTCGGCTAACTTCGGCTCTGCTCGTGACGTCACCGCGGGGAGAGTGGCGGGGTGATGACTCGCCTATTACGCAAGCGCTACGTTACCGCCATGTGCCGCTGGGGAGGTAGGGGTCAACATGTCACACTATGTTTAATTAAGGAGTTCTACTGTTGGCCAGAGAATTGTGGAGTGACTGGAAGAAACTCATTCTGTATTTATTACTAGTATAACCAGTGCATATGCTCAGCATTTCCCAAAAAATTTTTCTGTTCCACTTAGCAAGAGTAATAATTTCATAAGAGAATTCACACAAAAATCCCATCTGCCAGTAATTAATCACCAAAACTTAGTTACAAGCGGATGAATTAGCTAAGAAAACACAGTATAACTACAGAGCTGTAAAAAGCAAAAGTTCTGAAACTATACACCAGTTTCTGATAATACATTTTCATCTCATTATCCAATTATTTTCCTGTTGCATAACGATTATTATGAATCGGCATTAAATGCGTTTCTTCCATCCAAGGCACTGTTTGTTTATTGGTAGATTTGAGGATATGCTATCAAATGCATAGAGACAAATGACGAGCCGAGAAAGATACAGGGCAGATATTATCCCTGCATTTGCTTATACGTGAATTAAACCCACACCTTTTTTCAGAACAGAGAGTTGAACCAAAGTTCAGTATAATTAGATTTTTAAACATGCCTCTCAAATCTTCTTCTCGTCTTCTTAACGCTTCTTTCTGATGTTTGCGGTGGGTTTCCAGGGCAGTTAATTCTCGCTGCTTGATGCTGAGGTTGAGGTTCATGTCCTTGATGTCCTTAGTCTTCAAAAGACAGAAAATAAAAACAGTCAGTCAATGAAAGGACACAAATATACTGTAACATGACTACTTAAACCTTGTCCGTTACATGGTAATGGCTTGAAAAACAAGCAAGCCACCACTAAGCAAAGGCCTGGTACAATAGAACTGTTGGAAACAGTGTTTTCTACGCTGTCCATGACAGGGTTATACACTGAGAACCTATGGTCGAGATAGTAAGGATATGATATGAGTAGGGAAGCTGAGCAATCTACATTGTTGGGAGCTGCTACCAAGCAACAAAAAGTGAAAGCATGGCAGACTAAGAAGATTTATTATTTGCAGGAGTGATTTGTTAAGTGTGAAAATTAGTGATACCATTACAACTGTCTGTAGTTACAAATTATAAGCATTTAGTAAATCCAATTATCAGTTCTAACCCCTGTCTACTCACCAACATGTGATAATGTATTTGCTTTCTATATAAGAGCTGAGGTTTTCACAGCAGTAACTATGAAGAATGCCGTCTTCTGGGATGTGGCACCATGTACATCTTGTGTGAACCGATGTTTAGGAGGAATGTATCAACTCCATTTTCAGGGAAAAAAATCTGCGAGCGAGGAACCAGCATGAGCAGGTGGCTGGACACTGAGCCATCAGGGAAATCAGTAGAGGAGTGGTATTGGGCCTGTAGAGATGGGCGAACAGGTAGCAGAGAGTGGGTTACAGCCAGTAGATGATCACTGTTGAGGAGGGGAAGCCAGGCCTACTGAGTGAGTATTGTCCCTGCAGCCTCAGGGCTAAGCTTCCAAGTGTGCATTGACCTGCATAGCCTCAGAGATCTGGCGTCATGTTCTGGAGGTTTCTTGAGGGAGCAGATGAGAGGCTTCCATGACTTGCTGAGACAGAAACCAACCTCTTTGTTCATACTCTTGGGATTGAGCTCAATATCAATGGCCTCCCTAATGATGCAATCCATGTATTGGGTTTTAGAGACAAGGATGGAAGCACTGTGAAATTGAATGCGGTGTCCCAAGTCGACACTGCGTTCAGCCATGGCTGACTGCTATGGATGTTCAAGACAGATGTGCCGCTGACAGCCCTTCAACATCGTATCCACAGAACAACCTGTATGCCCAATGTAGACCTTGCTGCACCCACAGGGGATTCTGTACACATGTAGTGTCCTTAGTCCCATGCTATCTTTGACCGCCAGGAGGAAACTAGATACTTTCTGGGCAGGCAGGCCCACTGATTTGATGTTGTGCCGGGACAGCACACTGCCAATTCGGTTGAATATAGTAATATAGACCTCACATAGGGCAGGAAGGTAAATAAGTCTAGATTATCGTCAGGCTGACTGCTACCTGCTCACCCATCTCTACCAACCTTTTCAATTGATTTCCCATGTGGCCCACTCTCCTTCCCTCCCTGTTCTTATAGAGCTGGGTGTTTTCGACTAGTGGCTCAGTCTGTAGACACCTGCTCATGCTGGTTCCTCACTCGTGGATTCTTCTATTCTAAAGATGGAGGCAATAAGTTCCTCTGAAACGTCAGTTCACACAAGATCTACATGGCGCCACATCCCAGAAGAGAGCATTCTTTATTTTCTTTCTGTTTACTTGTAGGCCAAGACTTAAACTGAAGAACATTAAATGTGGAGTCCACTGTTAACTGGAAAGTACAAACTAAGTGAATGAAGGAAAGTTGTAAAAACATATATACACAATTTATCATAAGAGGCCACAAAATTATAATCATTTAATATCACATTCATATTTTTAGAAACCTGAACATGAATACTGTATACTAAGCAGCAAATACTGTTTGGCAGGCAAGATTCTGCGTACTTCCTACCAAAAGACATGCTAGTAATAACATGCATCACTTCTCAGTACATGTCTAATTATCCACCTGCATTCTCGTGTATCAACAAAGTTGTATTTCTGCAGGCTGAGAATGTCGTAATATAATACTATGTTCCAACTGACTGAATTATTAATCTTTCTGTCATTTGACTTACTACAAATTCAAACTAAAATATGCAAAAAAAAATCAGTGGTTAGGACCAGGAAGTCATTAATAACACTTACAACTTTAAAAAGAGAGAAACATCATGGACAATGAAGTTATTTCTACAAAATGCTACAAAGCAGTATACCATATTCAAAACAGCAAAAGACGCAACAGGGAAACACAAAAAGCATTTAGGATTATAAAAGGAGAACACAAGAAACAAGGTATATAATCGTAACCCATGGAAAAATAAAACAGTGAACCCTGAAGACAGGGTTTGCAGTTGATTAATTTGACATACACATGATGCATCACACCATACACAGTTTCTGTGCTAAGGAAGCTATTATTAAACTATAAGACAGCACTGATTCCAAATGACGTTGCTTAAGTCTAAGAAAAACTGTTCAGGACCTCAGTTTTAAGAGAAAAAAGACAAACATGGGAGTATCACTTTAACGGCACAATATGAGCCCATTTTGTGTATCCTACATCACTGTACTACAGAGGTGCCAACTTACATTTAAGGCTATTACAGTGAAACAAAGAATTACACGAACAAAAGTTGTCTAAATTGTTAACATCAATATCAAAAGACGAAAGATCAATTATTGTTTATGGAGGCTTTGTTCTTAACACAGCATTCTTCATTTATAAATCCTAAAAGAAAATAGGATATTATAACAAAGAAAAGGACATAAACTGTTACGTACCCTGGCTAAGAACACCATTCCAAATTTAATAACCAATTCAGTAATTATTATTGTTACTGCACCTTATCATGGCATTTAAAAAGACAAACTGCCAAGATCTAATTCCAGCAAAACCAAAATGGAAACCTGGTTAACGGAAAGGAAAAACATCTTTGAAATTCCATGTCAAAAACTTAAATGCATGATCTATTAAAATAAATAATATTTCACTGTCAGAATGTTAACACAGCATAGACATGTTGCACTGAGACTTATCATTCCCATACAAAGCTAGCAAAACTTATTTGGGTAAACGCAAAACAGGGGACTGTATGCAGGAACACAAGTTCTAAATTTACTGATGTACACTAATTGTGTCATCAGATATACCCAGAAATTTCAGAACACTAATCCACCATTTAGAACCAACAGAAAACTCATACTGTGTACATGAGAATATAACTGAAGAAACTGACGAACAAATGAACATTCAAGACAGTACAAGTGACAATTGCAGTGACAGTAATGGAAGGGAAGTTTCATTAGTGGAAAATTACTGGAGGGCACATAAATATGCAATCAAGCATTACTAATATTATCATCTCAATTGCATAAGAACATTAAAGAAACTATAACTGTATGCACTGTAAAGGCAGAGTAAGAGAATGGGTTTCCTTTCAGATAACTGCTTTGACTGTTATGGCTGACCAAACACTACATGAAGCTCTCCACTGACTGGAAAATGTCTAGCTCAGAAGCTTTTCTTCATTAAATTTATCATCCAAAATAAACTACACATTACTTACCAATCGATCTATACAGAACTTCAATTCATATTTGATTCCTTGCTCAGGAACTGTTTTCAACAGATGCTTCAGGGTATCCTCATTTTTATTCTTTCTGAAAGATCAAACATAAATAATATATAAATGGGTGAGGTGACAGTATTTTTCTATAGTGTTTCAACTGTCTCATTAACACAAAACTATAATTTGATTAGTATGTTCAGTACAACCATCAAAATACAACCACAAACATCATCTGACACACTGGTTTCCTTCAGCAAGATACATAAAGAGTAGAAAAGTTTTAGCAGATTACAAGCTTTTACAGCAGTTCAATCCTATTTTGGGGTAATAGCACCATTTGGATGTAGACTAACCTACTTCTGTAATGTCCAGCTATAAATACACCAGGAAAGTAGTACAGATAGCAGCAGCACGCACACAAGGAGACTACACAGACTAACATCTATACAGTACTAGATACAAGAAGCCGCTGCAGCACTACAGACATAGGGCGAGTAACCCTGAAATTTTATAACTTCATCATCATCATCATCATCATCATCATCATCATCAGTAATCTGTCAAGACGACAGGTCCACAGTCTCTTTCAAAACAATTCCTCCACTTAATGCGATCTAGAGCTTTCTCCTTCAAATGACAGTATCCTCTTCTGTCCCCAAGGTCATCCAGCATCTTCTTACGTCTTCTTCCTCGTCTTCTTGTCACTTCTATCCGCCCATCTATCTTTCCTTCGATAGCTTCTTTTAGAAGGCAGTTTCTGCGTAAAACATGACCAATCCAATTAGCCTTCCGTTTTCTTATTTCATGTAGGATATTCCTCTGCTCACTGACTCTAATTAACACTTCTTCATTTCTCACATAATCGGTCCAACTGATCTTCTCCATTCTTCTCCAACACCACATTTCGAAACTTTCCAGATGTTTCTGATCTACTGCCCTAAGTGTCCATGTTTCAGCCCCATACAGAGCTATGCTCCAAATGTAGCATTTCACTAGTTTCTTCCTCAAATTTAAGTCCAATTTGCTGGTAAAAAGATTCTTCTTCTTGCTAAATGCAGCTTTTGCCATGGCAATCCTGGATTTAATTTCACAAGTACACCTTCCATCATCTGTTAACAAGCTACCCAAATATTTAAAACATTTCACATTCTCCACTTGTTTTTGGTCTATCTTTATTGTGACTGGGGTTGGTTGTCTCGAAATTTTCATTACTTTTGTTTTCTCCACATTCATTTCCATGCCATAGCACCTTCCAATTTCAATTAGTCTATCAATCATGCCCTGTAGCACAGTTTCTTCCTTAGCCATTAACACAAGGTCATCTGCATATTTCACAGTTTGAATAATTTGCCCTCCTACTTTGAAGTCACCGAGCCCATCCAGAGCTTCCTTGGTAAGGCATTCGCTGTACAAGTTGAACAGAATTGGTGATAAACAGCATCCTTGTCGAACTCCTCTTCCAATCTGCACACTTCCTGTCTCCCCCCTGTCCAGTCGTACTCTAACTTTCTGATCCATGTACAATTTGCTAATCAATCTTCTTTCATGCCAATCGATACCTGTTTCTTTCAGGATCTGCATTAATTTGGTCCAGTTTACCCGGTCAAATGCCTTCTGCCAGTCTATGAAGCAAACACACAGTTCTTCATCTATCTCCAAAGTTCGTTCCGCTATAATTCTCATCATCCCAATTGCATCCCTGGTTCCTTTTCCTCTTCTAAATCCAAACTGATCTTCTCCAAGTACATCCTCTATTTTCCTTTCAATTCTTCTTTTAAGTATCTTTGCTATTATCTTTGCTGTATGTGCAATAAGACTTATTGTGCGATGGTCGCTGCATTTTGTAGCTTTTGTCTTTTTCTTTAAGGCAATCATTGTAACTTCTGTAAAGTCCTTGGGCCACTCTCCACTTTCATATATGGTGTTCATTAGTTTTGTCAGTGTTTTCAAACCACCTTCTCCCAGTAACTTGAGCACATCTCCAGGTACATCATCATCTCCTGTAGCCTTTCCCTTCCTCATTTCCTTGATAGCTTTTTCCACCTCACTTTGTAAAATATATGGTCCTTTCTCGTCTGTATCTACTTCTTCTTCCGGTTCAACTTCTAAGGTTTCTGGCCGATTAGGTCGATCATATAGTTCTGAAATATAATTTTCCCAAATTTTCAGCACTTGCCTCTGATCTACTATTCTATTCCCCTGGGAGTCTTCGATGCCAACATTTTGAATCCCATGATTCTCTTTCCATCCTAGTTCTTTTGTCTTCATGTACATCAAATCATAACGGCCTGTTCTTTGAAATTCCATAATCTCATTACATATCTTCTCAAGATATTCCTTTTTGGCCCTGTCCGTGGCTCTTTTCAATTCATTCCTCAGTCTCCTGTATTTCCTCCTGCCTTCTTCATTGTTGACATTCTTCCATTTCCTTCGCTCCTCCATTTTACTCATCATCTCCTGTGTAACCCATGGTTTTCTTGCTATCTTCTCAACTTTACCTACCAAATCACTGATAGTATCTAACATGCATTCTTTTATATCGTTCCACTGCGCTTCAGCATTTCCGCTTTCACCTTCAATTGCACCGAGTTTCTCTTCTAGAGTCTCTTGCACGCTTTGTCTTTGAGCATATAACTTCTCCAAATCCCATCTGGGTCTGCGCTTTCGAAATCCTATAATTTTCTTCAACCTGGTTCGGAACTTGGCAACCAGCAAGTTGTGGTCAGAGTCAATGTCTGCCCCAGGAAGCGTCTTCACATCCTTCACACTGTTTCTGAATCGATGTTTCACAAGGATGTAGTCCAGCTGATGCCTCTTCCAATCCCCAGGTGCCTTCCATGTGTAAATTCTTCTCTTTGGCTTCTTGAACCAAGTGTTGGTAACAATCAATCCATTTCGTTCACAAAAGTCAATAAGCATTTGACCTCTGTGATTCCGTCTTCCTAGTCCATGTGATCCAACAATATTCTGATATGGTTCATCTCCAACAATGCTGTTCCAGTCTCCCAATATGATGCTGTTTGTGTCTCCTCTTCCATCTTCCTGAAGAATTTCTTCAATTGTGTCATACACTTTTTCCACTTCATCGTCTTCATACTCTGATGTTGGCATGTACACTTGTATAATCAGTATATCTACCGGTTCTGCCTTTAACTTCAGAGCAATAATTCTGTCATTACAAGCAATCTTCTTAACAACACTCCTCACTACACTTTTATGCACCACTATTGCCACACCTCTTTCAGCCCGTTCACCTCCGGAATAATACACTGTATAATCACCGCTTCTTATTTCACCTTGTCCTTTCCACTGCACTTCGCTGACACCTAGCACAGACACTTCATTCTTCTGCATTTCCGTTTTCAAATTCTCCAATTTTCCTGCTTGATTCAAGTTAGAGAAGAAAAATTTTTTAAAGGATTTAAATATCAGAACCGAAGATTTTATAAGTGCTAATCAGGAAGACCTATGTTTTTAAACTTTAAATGTTATAAATAAGTGCAGTGTAACAGATACGTGAGTGTATACACCTGATGATGGCCATTTGGGGCCGAAACATGTAGTGTATAGAGAACAAGACGAAAGGCTTATAAATATAGTTTGCACTTAGGACAGAGTTATGTCATATACACCAGGAAAGATTTGGATAATTAAGTAATTCCTGTTGAATTGCTGGACATTAGTAAAGAAATTATTTATCCCATGAATGGGATTCGAAACCATTTCTACATGGTACCACCACCCAAAAACAGGATCCACATCAGACAGGCTTTGAGTCATAAATAATCTATCATATTGTGACATATGGGCTGAAAGCCTAAACAGTTTAACGAGAAAAGCCATCCACTGCTAGGCTGTAGCCAATAAGCACATTTCCAAGGCAATCAAAACATGCTATCATTGCAACAGATACACATGCAACAACAGAAGAATTGCTGGAAGCGGCGCTTTCTATTGGATCAGTCTTGAGATAGGCAGAGATATCCAGTGAGTCAAGAATGTAAGGACACACTTGGAGTCACAGCCAAGGTGCAAGATAGTCACCAGCCAGTAACAAACTTGCATAGAAGAGAACATTGTTGGGACCTGTTACCAGGCAACAACTAGTGAAGTGGCAGCAGACTGATGACAGGGCATGCTGGAGTGAATCAGCAAGAGCACTATAGTTACTTGTGGTTACAAGTTATAAGTGTCCAACAAATCCAATTACTAATTCAAACCCTGCATCTAGTCACTAAATACGTGACAGTATCTTTATTCCAGTGTATTCACCCCTTATTCCAAGTTCCAATCTGGAGGCAGTGGCTCCACTCATTTCCTGATACTAGTCCCGGTTCCTGTGCATAAGCACGCAGGGCATGAAAACTGATGCCCCTGAAAACCACCTTCTTTGTTGGAAACAAGAATTCCCATGATGCCAAGCCTGAACTGTGAACTTTCAGCATGAAAGTGGGTAGAATTAGTGTGTGTGAAAAATCTATCATGGGACAAAAGGAGTGTTCTACACTTGGAACCTGCCCACTACTGTGCAGTAGCACTAATTGCGTTTCAAGAGTAATGAGGGCCACATCAGTATCTGTTGAGAGGAAGGCCACTGCCTTCTTTCCGACCTTATTGATGTTTACAGTTTTATGGGTGGAGTGTTGTCAGTGTTTTGTTTCAGGGTCTCACTGGGATACCTGCATTTCACTGTTCATGATATGAGGAACTGTGAGAGCAATCATTCTTATATCAATCAAGATTCCACGGCATCAATCCAGTACTCTTTCCTCTCGGACCTCTGTCAGGTTGAGAAACACCCATCAACCACAAACCTCCCACGTGAAGAGCAGCTGACTGTATAAGATACATTTGGAAAATTAAATGTCTGGCTCTGCCTTGAAGTACCTTTATGTTAACTGTGAATCTATCCCGGCCATGACTTGAACATGAGCAATGTTGTCTTCAGTCACTTCTGTGGTTTGTTGTTCACTCCTGTCTTCATTCTTGCAAGATTTTAATCAATTCTTGTATCCCGAAAAGTGGAGAAAACCAGTACAGAGAAGAATGAAAGTGTTGTGGAGGAGACTGTACCTGTGATAAATTATGAAATTCCAAAAGGAGGGGAGATCCATGGGTAAATGCATGGCACACTACTATGAAAATATGGACAGACTTTAAATGGCCAAGTCCAGCAAACAGACATTTTACAAGAGATTATCTACTGGGCTGAATAACTCCTTGGGCAAGGGACACAAAGAGGGTTTTCTGAAGGGAGGACTAGTGTTGAGTCTAAATACATGAAGGATTATTATGAAGCAATGTGTTCAAGAAGTGGTTCAGCAGCATTCTTCCTAATTTGAAAAGTTCTGCAATAATTTTAGACAATGCTCCATACCACTGTGTTAAGAGTAGAAAGAATCCCTATCAAATCCAGGGCAAAGGCACACATACAGAAATGGCTTCACATGAAAGGCATTTCTTATGAATCTAAATTATAACTCCTGGTTGCAATGCCAGGCTGCAGTGAAATCTGGAAGGCAAGTACTAACACTGCCAACCAACCATTGTTCCTTAAGCCCCATAAAACTTGTGTTGAGTCAGGCTGAAGGATACATAACAAGAAATAATGCCAAGTTTACAATTACTGAAGTAAAAGAACATCTACTTCAAGGAGTAAGTAAGTAAGTAAAGCAATCCCTGTAAAAGGCCGTGAAGGCCCATAGGGTTGTGATATGTTGAGGGTCCCACATTATCTAGACAATCGGCTCAAAGATGGCAGTACAAAATTTTATGCATGATGACCAGAAATCATGGATTCAACATGTTATCAGCATTGAAGAATCAAACATGTGGACACTGGACGCCCTTGTGACAAGTGATGGAATGCACAGTCATCAATTCATAATATGCTAAGTAAGAAACTACACAGTTATATGCCATACGATAGAATTGTACACATTAATTTATATCCAGTTTGTGTTTTATGTAGTGCTTATTGAAGTTTAATTACATGCATATTGTGACATGACAGCTGAAAGCCAGAACAGTGGAACAAGAGGCAGCCATTGCTAGGCAATGGTACAGTAAACATGTTTCTGCAGCAACAGATTGTGACACATCGACAGAGGGCAAGGTGTTTTCCGTGCAGTCCTTGCCAAGACTATATAGCAAGGACCAGCAGCAGCAGTCCAGAGTTTGGAAGGCTCCCTGAGCCATCAGAGTGTAATATAAAGTTACGAGTCCTGCGGGATTTTGAACTAAGAACTGCCTTGCTGATGAGGACCAGCAGTAATTTAGCAGTTAGTCAGTCCAGTCAGTCTCAGGTTGCTTCTTTAGCAGCTGCTACCTAGCAACGGCCATTGAAGAAACAGAACACTTTATGTGTGCTGTAGCTGTAGTGATCTATACAGTGTGCAAATCAGTGAAACTGAAAATGAAAGCATTCAATGAATTCAATCATTAATCCAAACCCCATGCACAGTCACTAACACCTGACAATAGAGACATATTGTTTTTGTAATCAGTAGTAACATAACTGCCACATGGTTATGGTCATGGTTCTTAGTGGAGGGGGTAAGGGTGACTGTTTACTTCAACTCTGATATGAAGTAGTGACCTTTGTAACAGCAGAGAATGTCTACTTTCACTTACAATTTGCGGACTTCAGACTCCTTCACAGCCTTGCTCTCTCTCTGCAGGTCCAGCTCTGCTTGAACACTGCTCTGCTGTTGCAGAAGTTTCACCTCCTTGTCAACTTCCTCCAGTTCGTCTTCCAACCTTAAACAAAATATCTCACTTACTTTCAATTCTGAAACAGACATAAGTTACAAATTGATGTGGGGTACTAGACGTTTGAATGAGGCACTTGAGGCTATCACCGCTAGATGGCAGCATTAGTCTGGTGGCAATTGATGACATTCGACACGAGACAACTGATGTTTACAAAAGCGAAACAGCAGATGCAAGATGGCGGCACCTCTGAGTGAGTGTACAACCCTTGAGCAGTGCTCCGGTGTGCGATTTTTGTGGGCAAAAGGTATGGAATCAAAGAATATTCATAAAGAAATGCTTCTCCTCTACGGTGAGAAGTGCCTCTCATGTCAAGCTGTTTAAAATTGGACGAAGGAGTTCTCTGAAGGGCGGAATGTATCGAAGATGAAAACCGTGTCAGGCAGCCAATGGAGATTGCCACAGAGGTGAATGTGTAACGGGTTGAAGACTTGATCCGAGCAGACAGAAGGGTAACTATAGACACTACAGCCACTGCTATTGGTTGTTCACATGGCATTGCCTACCTCATAATGCATGGCAGGTTAGGTTTCCACAAAGTCTGTGCATGATGGGTGCTGCGCATGCTGACACAGCATCTCAATCGCTACCATGATGGAGGACATGATATGCTAGCCTGAACTGTCATAGGTGATGAGTCTTGGGTTCACCATTACCAGCATGAAACAAAGCGTGCATCAATCAATGCAGTGGAAACATCCTTCGTCGCCTGCCAAGAAAAAGTTTAAGATGACACCATCCTCCAGGAAAGTGATGCTCACAGTCTTCTGGGATCAGGAAGGCATACTGCTCACTGCATTCCTGCCTCAAGGACAAACCGTAAATGCAGACTACTACTGTAACATCCTCAGGAAACTTTGTAAGGCCGTTCAACGGAAGCGACCAGGACTCCTCACCAAAGGCGTGCTGCTCTTGCATGACAATGTGCGTCCCCATACTGCCAACAAGACAAATGAGACACTGTGAAAATTCAAGTGGGAAGTCCTTGAGCATCCTCCGTATAGCCCCGACCTTGCTCCAAGCGACTTCCATTTGTTCGGCCCTCTTAAACATCATCTTTCGGCTAAACGTTTTCCCGAAGATGAAGCTGTAGAAAGGGAAGCCACCGCCTGGTTCCAACAGCAGCCCAAAGAATTTTGTGCTGCTGGTTTTCAGGGGCTTGTGAAACGATGGGGTAAGTGCCTCAGTGTACAGGGAGATTATATTGAGAAATAAGAGCATTTTTCAAATCAGTACTCTTATTTAAGTTCTACACAGATTTTTAACTTACTTATTGACTTACCCTTGTAAAAATCTGAGTAAACTACATTATATTTTGAACCACTGAGCTTTTGTGCTGCTTCTTCCAGAGGTTTGAGGTCAGAAACTTGGATTTGAGACTAAAAACGTAAATGTCAGTTTACTATGTGCAGTACAAATTAATCATGAAATTGTATAAAATTAAAAAAGGCAAAGTACGATGAGAATGTATATGGATAGGACTATATGTTCAACACGTGTTGAACTGGAGAGAAGACACATTTACGCGTCTACAGATCCTTCCTTTCGAACTTGATGTGCCATTTTCTTAAAATCTAGTCATCAATATCTGAAATCGATATATACCCTCCATAGGAAAATAACATGAAACATATTGTGACATATAGACCTGCTGCTAGGCAACAACCGCAAAACAAGACAATGGCCACTGCTAGGCAACAGCTTCGCAAATATGAAACAGTACTGGGGCCATTGCTAGGCAGTGGGCCATATGCAATAATGAAGTACTGTTGGAAGCAGTGTTTTCACAACAGTGAAGTGCACGTATATACACTGACTTTTGCCTGTGAGATGTATACGTTAACAACCAAGATACAACGCACAGACAAAAGTCTATGCTTGTGTTAGTCTTACCTATTCCGTTTGTCTTTAGCTTGTTTTATTTCTTCCTTCAGTTCATCCATATTCAAAGAGTTCTCAACTTGCTCTAGATCTTCAACAGCTTGTTTCAGTTTTCTTTCAATACGGGCGAGTTTACTTGCTGATAAATCCACCTAATTTAGACACAACAGAGTAGTCAAAGCACTCTTCAAGCAATGTGCAAATAGGAATAAATGTAGTGGGAAAATCATGTGACAGCATTCCCCATGCATTTTCTGCTATGTTAATATCTATTAATTTCAAGTGCTTTTTTTTTTTACAAAAGAAAATAAGTAGCTAACACACACATTAGAACTATGACTGCCTGCTGAAACCATGAATCAAAAGCCACTATGAAGGAACAGTCTATGTAAGTTTCCTCCTTAAAAATTCTTTATTGTAGTTAAAGTGTGAGATGAACCTCTTTAATGAAATGGATCAAAATTAGCACTTGACTGAGATTCTAAATCGTAAGTAACATATTTTATTACATGTTCATTCCATGTTTCTCTTTCTTTTGTAGGGCCTAAAAGCTCAGCATAGCTAAAACAAAAGCTTGTAATAAATCCTGAGGAACATATAAGTTCACCTTTCCTGGATAAGAGTTCAGCTGATTGCTGGTTCAGTGGCAAACACTTTATCGTGAGGAACAGCGCAGACTTCGATAAAATTAAAGACACAGCAGACATCCACACTTACCTTCCTGACATCCTGGCAACCATCAAAATAGTCAAACACCCCCACAACTTCAACCATGATGATGTACACAAACTGAGCAAAGTCTGACTTCACTTCTTTCATTCCAACCCCCCACCTTAACCTTAGGACATTTCCCATTGGATAGAATGACACTCACACTCTACCGTTACTCCAACAGTAGGAGCTATACATCAGTATACTTTCTCTTTTTGCCTCCATTCACCCTGCAGATGACAATGGAGGTACACACAAAAACAACTGAAAATGAAAGCAACACATTCCTCCAAAACATCAGTAAATATCTACCAGACTACACGGTGTCATACTCCATAAAACAATTTTCAGCTTCAGAATTTGATCTGAACAAAATTTAAAATCATTTTCAGTATAAAAATGTATATATATTCCGTAAAATTGGGAGAGGTCCACAAAAATTAGAAATTTCCATAGTGGTTAATCCCTCCTACCCAGGCTTTACAGCCTTGGAAATGCCAAAGAGTCTATTTCTAAGGTGGAAGCAATTTCTACCCCACATGCAGTGTATAAATTATGGCTGCCAGTAGGGACCTACAGCTTAAAATGTCCAACCACAATCAGGAACCTGGTATTCTGCAGAATCATGAAGTTCTACCACTGTCACAAATTAGTAAAGATCAAATTTTAAGCATCAGATTCAGCTAGCACCAAACCCTTAGGTTTTAACAGGAAAAAAATTGAACAGTAATATCTTCTGAGATACGCTATGTAGTCCATTGAAAATCAGCCTATTTTCAGAGGAACATACTGCCTCCATCTTCAGGGTCAAAGAATATGCCCAACAAGATACAAGCATAAAAGCAGATGTCAGATGTTTGTCTGAAACATCAGCTGACTTTCAATGGACTACTAAGATATATATCCCAGCAGGTGGCGCGCTCCATTTTCACTGCTGTGAGAATCTCAAATCCCATACAGGAAAACAATTATAATGAAGGATGTACTAGCAAACACTAACCAGACCTAAAAGAACTCACCTCTTCTATTTCCCCTTTTATTTTCTTTATTTCTTGTTTGGTTGCTTGCATTTGTTTTGCTTTCATACTTATTTGTTGCTCCAAGGACACCTTCTCCTCCCTGTAATAAAGAGGAATCAAGAGGACCTCTTCATTAACCAACAATAAATGGTAGATTCGTCAACTGGTACAGTAGTGGAAAGACTGATGCCAAAGCTAACGAGGGTATCTAGAGAATGAAGGTTAATAGACTTCAGCAACTGTACAAAATGGACTGAATTCATCAGAAATAAGTTCCATAGCGATGACACACTGGCAGAACAGTCTGTCTTGCAGGTCGAAGCCATCATGGAACTGCTGGATATTTGCTTGAGAACCACATATTTTCAGGGGGGCAATAAATCCTTCCAACAGAAAGATGGAACGGCTATGGAAAGCTCTCTGTCATCCATCACTAGCAACATCTTTGTCGAGCATTTTAAGAAATTAGCTCCTGACTCGCCACAATACAAACCATCACTGTGGCTCCACTATGTTGATGATACATTTGTTGTCTGGTCTCATGGTCCAGAGTGGTTACAGAATTTCTTCAGCCACTTAAATAGTTTAAGGCCTTCCATCCAGTTCACTATGGAAACAGAGAAAGACAATGTAATTCCTTCTCTGAATGTTCTGGTCATCAGGAAAGAGTTAACACTGGCCACAAGAGTCTACAGGAAACCCAATCACAATGACTGATATTTCAACTTCAAATCTAACCATCCACTGCATGTGAATAGACGTTTGATCCAGAGTCTTCACAATAGAGCTCCCACCATATGGCAAGAAAAACAAGATCTGTTCAACAAAAACTTGTAGCCTGAGACGTGATCTCCAGCTCAACAGTTGTCCCAAACGTTTTAGTGACTCCAGAGGAAAAGCCTCTGGGATCTGTGTATATCCCCTACGTGAAGGCTGTTTCAGAGAAGTTCAATCGTATAGGGAAGGGACATAACATTAGGACAATGTGCATGACTAAACACACTCCCAGCTGTTCACTCATGAAAACCAGGCCAAACAGATATCCATAACAGATGGCACAGTGTGTCCATAGCATTCCATGTGAATGTGACAGAAGTTACATTCATGAAACAGGCGAACCTCTAGTGATGCGTCTCCGTGAATATAGGTACAAAATCTAGGAGGGTCTTCTACAAAAATCAGGATTAGCCTAACATGCCTTCGAAGAGGGTCATAGGGTAGGACGGGATGAAACTAGGATTTTGCATATTGAAAGGAACAGCAAGTATAGGAAATACAAGGAAGCAGCCCACATGGCATGCTCAACCAATCAGCAGCCCAGCGATATCTCCCATTTGGATCCCATTATCAACAATGAGGTAATCAATTCACAGAGAAGATCTGTATGATGTGAGAGAGTCTTCATTGGTTTCTATACAGTTTTGGTCTGGATGTTCAGGTTTTACTCCACAGATGGCACAATATGGGTTCACAAATTCTCCATTTAATACTATGCATTGGTGTCTATGGGCTTGGTTTGCTGGCTGTGTTTACAGCATACATCTGTGTTCCCCTTTCTATGTTAGTTCCATGACTGTGCATGATTTATTAAAATTTTTATTGTCTATTTCCTGTTATTTCCCTTCACAAATTCAGCTATTCAAACAGCTGTAGTTTATCTAGTATGGGTTGTCCAATCACTGAGGTTAGCTCTTTCTTAGGGACCTAACAAAGTGTCTCCCCTCTCACCTGAGGATGGAAACTGATCAAGTTTCCATAACGTTGTGTTTTCTAGTTTTTAGAATATTAGATGCTGGACAAAGCCCAAAAATCCAGTAATTCTGAACAATGAATGGAAGGGACATAATAACCATGCCACAAATAAAACTAGTAGCTTCCAGCCTGGAATTGGGAAGAGCAGGAGGGGCCACCCAGCAACACAATGTTTTTGTTGTACTCTCCTAATACTATATTACTGAAAACATTCAACATTCTGAATCCTGCCCATTTTTATACAGAAACTACACTTGGACCTGCACACTAACATATAATAAAAACCCATCCATCCATTCACCTATGGCTCTACAGCCCTTTATTGGACCTTGGCCAACTTTTCAGTTTCTTAACCTTTTACACAGTCAGTAGGAATCCTTGGATGAGGGATCCGCCAATCGCAAGGCTGCTACCTATACACAGGACAGCACAAACATAGAATAAACACACACAAACACCCATGCCTCAAGTGGGATTCAAACCCACAATCCCAGTGTTTCAGAGGGCAAAGACAGTTCAAGCTTCACACTGTGCTGCCACTGTGATTGGCACTGAATTAAAAAATAAAGAAAATAGTTAAAGGAATACAAACCTTACATTATTGAGTGGTCAAATAACATGCAGATATTGTCACAGAATTAACGTGGTCCTCCAGCTTTGGGGTTGGACGTGCGGATAAAAACACACCATAAAAAATAAGCTTGTTATGAAAGGTCAGAAAGGGCCTCAGACTTAGACGGATTCTTTGAATAAAGGACCTAAGCTAAGGAAATACCCAAACATATAAAAAACAAATTATGTTTAACAGTCAATACCAGTAACCCACCTGTATTCATCTATTCTGTTCTGAAGTTCTTGTTCCTCATTCTCAATCATCCCTTTTCGTGCTTCAAGAGCTGCTTCTATTGCTTTCAGCTTTCTGTTTACTTGACCCAAGACAGAAGTTACTTCACCTCCTGAGAACTGAGTGAATGATGATGCTGCTGCTAAGAATGACAACATGAATATCAACCAAAACATTATCCAACAGGCAGCAGAACATAACATGAATTTCAAGGTTTAAAATATGTATGGCTTTCACTTAACATTAAAAAGCAAACTGTTTACAATGGAAAACAATGGTAGAATTTATATAGCTGATGCAGAAGAGAAGTATACATGACAGCCTGCTAAGAACATAATCTCTACATGCTTTAAAATTGAAATATTGCACAGCACATACATACGAGGGGGTACCCAAAAGAAATCAAACTTATTTTTTTTAAACTTATTTATTCAAATTTCAAGCACAAACCTTCAATCCCCTTCAAAGTACTCTCCACTTACACTAATACACTTGTCTAGTCTTTTATTCCATTTTTCAAAACATTGTCTAAATTCATCTTTTGAGATGCTTGACAGCGCCTCCGTCGTTTTTTCCTTCACCTTAGCAACATCAGCAAAATGCTTTCCTTTCATGTCTCTTTTCATTCGAGGAAACAAAAAAAAAAAGTTTTGATCATTTCAGGACTCTTCTTTCAAAGCACAGCATGCTTCCACGCGACCTTGTTTTTGTTCAGCAGTCAGCAGTCGTGGCACGAATTTCGCAGCCACCCTTTTCATTCCCAAATCTTCTGTCAAAATTCGCTGAACTGAGCTCCAAGTCACTCCCGACAGCTCCACAATTTCTTCAATGGTCCGTTGTCGATCTTCCTTGATTATTTCATGAATTTTTTCAACATTTACATGTGTTCGGGCCGTGGAAGGACAACCAGAACGAGGTTTGCAATCAATTGACATTTCACCATTTTTGAAACGGGAAAACCACTCAAACACTTGAGTTTTCCCCATAGCATCATCCTTGTATGCCGTTTTTATCATTTCAAGAGTTTCTGTTCCACTTTTCCCGAGCAAAAAGCAGACTTTCACCGCTGCACGATGTTCACGAAAATCGGCCATTGCAAAAACGACGATCACACAAAACAGTTGTCACTATAAACTCTGCCGAAACTAGTCCTTACCTTCTGAAGCAACGGTAGTCGGCTTATCGACTCAGGAATGTTAGCTCTATGCACTCATAGCTGCAAAACGCGGTACTACAAAAGCTCTGCCCACAAAAAAATTAGTTCGGTTTCTTTTGGGTACCCCATCGTACATACATACATACTTCCTGTACAGTGAACCCCGATTTCTTTGGGAATCAATGGACTTGTAACATTAAACTGTGGAAAATCTTAAATAGAAGGAATTTTAAAACTCAGACTGACTGGGGATCATTTAAGTTGAACATAAAATGATCGAAAACCTCAACAAAGCACCAAACTTGTTAATGCACATTGCAACATGTTCCTTCAACCACTATTTGAGTAGTCATGCCCATGTGCGTGCCGCTGCTATTCCTTACTACATGTGCACACAGGGAGACTACACAAAATAACACCTGTACAGTGCTGGAAACAAGAACTAGCCGTTGCAGCACTATAGACATAGGGCAAGTAACCCTGACAATTTTAAATTTTAAAATTTAGAGAAAAATTTTAAAGGATTTTAAAATTAGAACTAAAGATTTTATAAGTGTTAACGTGTGTAACAAAAATAATCTATAAACCAGACAGATATCAATGAAGTAGATGTTGATAATAACAACGAAAGGAACAATGTGTTTTTAAATGTTAAATTTTAAACTAAGTGCAGTGTAACAGCAACGTGAGTGTATACACCTGATGATGGCCGTTTGAGGCCAAAACATGTAATGTAAAGGAGAGCAAGATAAAGGACATATAATATATTGTTTGCACTTGGGACGGAGTTCATATCATTTACAGTTTCACAGTTAAAGCCATTCTAACAGTGCTCATGTTTAAAAGAACTGGTATTTTGATAGTACACCTTAGAGTCACTGTTATATTTTGTTGCTTTGTAACAAACTCTCCCACTTACAACATTATCAGCTTTCGTGGAATCTGCTTGCTTGGCGTGAAGGAATAATTTCAGATATGAGAGAACTTGTAGGACAAATTCCACTACTTTTATGGAAGGATCATGAGAATATGATTCAGCATGAGACACTTGAGCTTAACACGATAAATGAGAAATGTTACCTGCATTCTCTTCATTACTCACACATTGTCTCGCTTATTTCCAAGTCCTCAGAAAGTTTGCCAAGTAGTTTATTCCGTGAATCAATCCTCTCCTGCTGTTGCTCTACCTCTCTCTGAAACTGTCCTTTCTTAACCTTTTCTCGAGTTATATCTATCTGCAGTTTCTTATCTTCATTCTCAAGATGACTTAATTTTGCCGTTAGCTAGAATTATACCCAACTCATTATCATTCTGTTCACTACACCTAAGTACAAAATATGATATTCAATTGTTATTCCAAAAGTAATCCATATTGGCCACAAGCTAGTAACTGACTGATGCAGGCTTACTGACATGGAAGACAGATCTTAGCATACACTGTTGCAATTCAAATTGTTAATCAGAAATTTAAATGGAAAAAGCAGGTATGTTGGATTAGTTAGCACATGACAATCATCAAGCTAAAACTAAAGTTACTGCTATGTAAAATCCCACACAAATACACAGTGTACTGAAGAAAATGTGTGGTAATTATTATGTACCTTATCAATATACTATATGGGCATATAGAACAATTTCAAAATTCAATACATTCTGGAATTTCACTTTTACATAGTAGTGGTTAGAAGTCTCACTTCACAACACAAGTTCCACAGTTTGGATCTTTAACAAGAGACTGGGCATTGTGACCGAGGTCTACATGATTTTTCTGAGTCCATCAAGACAAATTATGGGGCAATACCTTAAAACAGGTCATAACAATATTTCCATTCAGTATACAGAGTCATTGAAATAACTGTTCCTTTAATATTACATAATGTAGGAAGCTAACACAGCACCATCCAGCAAAGCAAGTTCCATTATAATTCACCGTACTACTGCACAGCTTGTAAACATGTTATGAATGATGAACTAATTTTATCTTTTCTTCTGACAACTTCAGACCCCAGTGATCTCAAATGGTAAAGAGACAAAGGAGAAAGTGGCATTTTATATCATAACACAAAACAAATTATAACATATTACAAGATATGCAAACTCTTCTATATTCATTTATATTATCCTTTCCATTGAGGTATTTCATGCAAAAACTTTGGCAATATATGCCCATTTAAATTATTATGACAGAAAATACGGTACACTTTACAATTTTGTTTAAAAATAGATTGATCCACACATAAACATGCAATCAAACTTCTTGTAAAAATCTGTCACCCTCACAAAAATTGTTTGACAATGAACCAAAAGAATTAATATACTCACATCTTTGTAAGAAGTTTCCTTCAACTTCATTTCTACATGAAACATCTTGATGACTGCTTCTAATTCAGTGGTCGAACCCTTGAATTTACTCTGTATATTCTGTTCTAATTCCATTTGAGCAGCCCTCACACCTTCCAACTCTGTCTTCTTTTTCTCTACAGAAAGTTAATTCCATATAAAGTAAGAGTATCCACAACAGCAACGGTTCCTGAGGCAACCGACCCAATCATCCCAACAGACAACAAAAAAAAGTAAACAATACCATCAAAGGATGTCATCAACTAGTGAAGAAGATGATACCATCCGGGATTCAAACGAAAACACTTGGCAAAAAGTGAAGAACACAAAAAGAATGAAGGTAAATCAACCTGTCAGTCAAAACATAACCCTAACAAACAAATATAGTCAACTAAATGTAGAAGATGGCGAAANACTTTTACATAGTAGTGGTTAGAAGTCTCACTTCACAACACAAGTTCCACAGTTTGGATCTTTAACAAGAGACTGGGCATTGTGACCGAGGTCTACATGATTTTTCTGAGTCCATCAAGACAAATTATGGGGCAATACCTTAAAACAGGTCATAACAATATTTCCATTCAGTATACAGAGTCATTGAAATAACTGTTCCTTTAATATTACATAATGTAGGAAGCTAACACAGCACCATCCAGCAAAGCAAGTTCCATTATAATTCACCGTACTACTGCACAGCTTGTAAACATGTTATGAATGATGAACTAATTTTATCTTTTCTTCTGACAACTTCAGACCCCAGTGATCTCAAATGGTAAAGAGACAAAGGAGAAAGTGGCATTTTATATCATAACACAAAACAAATTATAACATATTACAAGATATGCAAACTCTTCTATATTCATTTATATTATCCTTTCCATTGAGGTATTTCATGCAAAAACTTTGGCAATATATGCCCATTTAAATTATTATGACAGAAAATACGGTACACTTTACAATTTTGTTTAAAAATAGATTGATCCACACATAAACATGCAATCAAACTTCTTGTAAAAATCTGTCACCCTCACAAAAATTGTTTGACAATGAACAAAGGCACATGAACCAAAAGAATTAATATACTCACATCTTTGTAAGAAGTTTCCTTCAACTTCATTTCTACATGAAACATCTTGATGACTGCTTCTAATTCAGTGGTCGAACCCTTGAATTTACTCTGTATATTCTGTTCTAATTCCATTTGAGCAGCCCTCACACCTTCCAACTCTGTCTTCTTTTTCTCTACAGAAAGTTAATTCCTTATAAAGTAAGAAAGGGAATAAACAATCACAACTGAACAAAATCATGTTCATGGACAGTTTATAATCAGCCATCCTCCAATAACATGCTAGTAAATGAAAAGTTTTTAAATTAAAGACAGAAGAACAACTCTTTAACTGTACTCTCCTATACTTGCAAGAAAAACTAGGACAGTAGGTTAGTTTAAATGAAATGTCAAAAATACTATACAGTAACTGCTTAACAATCATTACTGTTTGATAACTGCATTATTCACATATCATATACTCTTTGTCTAAGTAAAATTATCTGGCAATTTTAACCAGTGGAAATTTGTAACACTCTATGGATAAAAATTGTAATTTTCATACTCAACACTTCAGAATTCTATTCTACATTTCACATGCTGTCTGCTGAATGTTAAGACCAGCTGCAATCATCACAGGTTTTGCCCTCTATTTCACATATTAAGTGAACTTTTATTTCACCCCCGCCCTCCCCACACCATGGAAACTGTACAGTGACATAAAATGAGATACAATTCTGAATTCCAAACACGCTGAAAGAATATACTTCCAAAGAGAATCACATGAGAGATATAACACAAAATATGGGAGGAGGGCTATGACAATGCTACACAAAAAAATGAATAAATAAATAAAACCAAAAGTTTTACGAGGGCCCTAAGCTTACCAGTTGAATCCAACTTAAATGTAATTAACCATCTCCCACATGATCAGTACTGTTCTCACATGAATGTCTTGGCAATATTTTAGCTTCCAGTTTTCCAGAAAATGAGCCCACATTAATGAATTAAACAGGCAGATAATATATATACACATACCTTTCGCTGTGTATAGTTTTGTGATATCAGCTTCTCGTGCATTGATGGTATTTAAACGTTCAGCAATTGGTTCCAACTTCCCGTTATATTTGTTGATCTGATCTCTGTTCACATTCATACGATTATTTGCTTCAGCAAGTTGCTTCCTCTTTAAGCCTACCTCATCTTTAATGTTTCTCAAATGTCCTATATCATTGTTTAACAATTTCAGATCTATTAAGCAAAGAAATGAGAAGCACATGTAACACATAATATGGAAGTCTGCCTTGTATTTGTCGCATTTTGTGTCATGCAAGAGCAATTCATTCAATTCCCTCATATACTATTAGTAATAAATAAACCCATACTTCTCACTGGTTAAAACTTGGAGGGCAACCTGCTTACAGATTCTGAAATATGAACCTTCCCCTAGGCAAGGGTAGGCCTGAAAGGGTGGTTTAACGCAACCTTTATAGGCTGCCAGCCATAAAAACTGAAAAGTACACATGATGCAAAATTTATTTGAAAATAGCAGCACCTTGTTAGGAATCATTTGTCATGCTGAACATGCTGGAAGAAAGTCCACAAGACGGTTTTCCTTATGCACTACAGCAGAAAGTTGATGATTCCAATGATTTTTGTCCCTACAGTGAAATCTCCATTATAAAGCATTCCCATTCTACCATGGTTTCATTGCATACACCACTTATGGGTAAAGTGTCTCCCATTGCAGCAACCCATTTGAGATGCATACAAATGAAGATGAAGGGGTACTGTCACAAGAACAAATGTTTTCATTATTCCACTCATGTTACGGCCCACACAGGATATCATCACCCAGTTCGTGAGCAATATACAAATGATGACAGCATACATATAAAAACTAAAATACAAATATACATTTGTTAGTTGAATTGGGTCAGATGTGATTCAAAACCATATACTCATTAGATTTAAAATTAAAAATAGATATGCACATGTTACATTTAATACATGTACTAAATTTAATATGTGTATGTATATTTTTAATTTTAATTTAAAATCAGTCTCTATTACATCTGCTTTACAATTAATAGAAAAGTAATTATGTTTAAAATATGTTAACCTGATGTTTTTTCAGCATAAGGTACTATGATATGGGTAGGCCTGGAGAACTATAGTCAAGACAGAAAGTTATATGAAAGCAAAAATGGGCTTCAATAAGAGCAAATTGCATTATATTGAGATGCACCTCATACAATATACAGATACAAATAAGGTGCTTTTTACCATGCAGTCACCGTCCTTTGCGATGCACTTTTCACATCTTTCAACAAGCTTCTATGTGGGGCAATCCAAAAGTTTCCAAAATTTGAATTTTGCGCACAAATGGTTATGAGTACATTGAAATACCGCTAGGTGTCTCCTCACACATTCTTCTTGAATTAGTGTGGCAAGCAGCGTCGAGTTGAGTGGTTGGGTTTATTGTTGGTGAACTTATTTCCATTGTTGTGTTTCCGTGAGTTTGCGGTTTTGCGATGGCTGACCTGAGAGAGCAGCGTGTCTGTATAAAGTTTTGTTTCAAACTTGGGAAAACCGCTGCAGAAACGCACCAAATGTTGAAGCTTTTGGTGAAAACAGTTTAGGCCAGACACATACTTACAACTGGTATAAGCGTTTTAAAAATGGCTGAACATTGACTGATGATGACGATCGTTCGGGGTGGCCGTCAACGGGCAAAACACCAGAAATGTCACGAAAGTTGGGTATCTGATTCTGCAAGATCGTAGACTGACCATCCAAGACCTCTGTAACACCTCGGGACTAAGTTATGGTGCATGTCAACAAATTTTGTCAGAGGAACTGAACATGAGGAGGATTGCGGCGAAGTTTGTACCACGACTGCTGCAAAATGAACAGAAGCAGCATCGCTTGGAAGTCTGCAGGGAACTTCAACAACAGCTTCAAGAGGATCCAAACTTTCTCTCGAAGGTTGTCACTGGTGACAAAAGTTGGGATTATGGCTACGACCCTGAAAGTAAGCTGCAATCGTCGCAATGGAAGAGCCCTTCTTCACCTCGGCCAAAAAAAGCTCGACAAGTCAAGAGCAACATTAAGTCCATGTTGATGTGTTTTTTTTATATTGACGGGATTGTTCATAAGGAGTTCATCCCTCCTGGTCAGACAGTCCATAAAGAGTTCTATTGCAATGTTCTAAGGCGTTTGATGGAGAACATGAGGAGAAAACGTCCAGAGAAGTGGCGCACGAATGACTGGGTACTCCACCATGACAGCGCACGACCGCATATGTCTTACATTGTGCAGGAATTTTTGGCCAAAAACAAGATGGCAGTTGTTCCCCACCCACCATACTCACCAGGCTTAGCTCCATGCGACTTCTTTCGCTTCCCCAAGATGAAAATCAAGTTGAAGGGGCGAAGATTTGATACAGTTGAGGAAATTCAAGCTGAAACGCAGACGGTACTAAACACCCTAACAAAGAAAGACTTCCAGGATACATTTCAAAAGTTGCAGAAACGCTGGGATCGGTGTATGCACTCCCAAGGGGACTACTTTGAAGGTGATGGTGCAGAATAAGATCTAGGTAAGACGTAATAGTTTTTATTAATATATTTCGGGAACTTTTGGATTGCACCACGTAAATTAAGTGTATCTTGAACAAGTTAATATTGCCACAAAAAGGTCAAGTTATGTAGAAGTTTTATTTTTTTCATATAAAATGTTTAGACACAGATGAGTTGAGAAAAAAAAAGATTTCAATCTTGATTCAAATATTGATTTTACAGTCCTGATCCTAAAGAATCTTAGAAATAACTTTTTTTTTGCTTTGTGCAGTAACATGCACACTACAGATCTATCAGAATCATATTCGTTGGCAACACTAGCGTGAATCAACTTGCCTATAAAACCTGTGTTTCTCTTCCTCTTTCTGCTCATGAGAGGGGTCAGGGGGCATGGCCCTTGGATTGACTTCCTTTTTCAAATACAATGATTTATGACAATTTTGCATCAAAACTGGATTTGATACCAAAAGTAACAATAAGTACATTTTATTGCATTGTGAAGACTAGCCAGTGTTATAAATTGAGTTGCAGTGAAAAACTGGTCCAGCAGAGAACATTTTTACCTCAATTCTTTGAACTTTTCCCAAAATTTTCATGTTGATCTCATCTCAAGCTGAAAAAGTCAATCCCAGACATACATAATAAACTAAAATCCTACATGCTAACTTACGATCAGTAATAGCCTTCTTCTTCAATCGTATTTGTTCCAAACATTTGTTCTGTTTCGTCGCATCAAATATATCATCGAACCGCTCTTTCACCTTCTTTCCTTCATCCAGCGGCCTGTAACAGTAACACACAAAACATGTTCTGCTGTTTGAGAGGAATGATTACTGCACACAATGCATTCTTAGTTATGGAAGTCGTAACAGTAACACAGCAGATAGTGAATTTCCAACCAGGCTTTCAGGTGGATTAAGAATGTCTCACAAGGGCCAATAAGTCACAAATATCCTTCTCGTTTCCGATACTACTAATAATTAATGAAACATCGAGAGTTGTTTCATAATGTTCTTCATATTAGCCTCTATCTTATAAACAAGGAGACCTCCCTTCCTGTTCAAATGATGAGATCTAAACTGTTTAAAAGCAAATCTTAAATACTGTAAATGCTCTGATAAAATCCCAAATCTGTCAATTCTACAAGTTATGATTGCTAATACTGAAAACACCCTTATGTTTTGTGTAGTTTATTACGGCTAATACCAAGGTATTACTGTCTTTCTGGCCACCTTATGCCAATTTTCTTCAGGCTGAGTTTGTGGATGCAAGGCACAAGTCACATTATTTCAACACAATCTAGCTGCAACACTTCTATGCAGTAGGTTTTGCAAATCCCTTGGCTTTCTGAATTCACTGGGCCAATCATTCTTTACCAAAGAATTTTCTGAAACAGGTGTGACGAAACTTCCCAAAGTTCTCTTCACTCACCTGCAAAAAACTTGCTCCCCTGAGAGAAGCTGTCTTTATCTCCTTTCTTCCTTTGTATATACAGAACTTTACTAACCATTCATTCTAAAAAAACAATCCAACACCAAACACACTGGACTAGAAGTAATTCTCGAGACTTATATTCAGGTGGTGCATGGTTTGAATCTCAACCAATTCACCAGCTATCCTGACTGAGGTTTCCCATTGTTTTCCTCTGTTTGTCCAGAAAAATTCCAGGACACTACCTAAATTAGGCCACGGCCGCTTCCTTCCAAAGCCTTTCCATTACATCAGTCATCCTGCCATCCAGGCTACAGTCTCTATACTGAGGGCATCATTATATAAAGCCCCCACCACCCAAAGGCAATCCCCCAGGCCTTGAACCCAACTTGTATATCTTTCCCGCTAAAGGCTAAAAACACGAGTGCAAAGCACTACTCGCTGGAGGAGGGTGTTCAGACATATGCATTACAGGGAAGTGTTACATACCCTACCATTTTCAATCGACAGTGCAAAGCAAATTTTAACGGATATATTTTAGCCATACAGGAAGTGGTAACTTGGAAGCAACACTCTTTTATTCTTCAGATCTGTTGGATATAGACTCTGAATTCCTAATCAGTGTTCCAAAATGTACATACAAAAAAATTAATTTTAAAATCTGGTATTTTCACCTTGAAGTTTTACATTTTATAAGAAAAAACGGTTCTAGTGCATACAACTCACCAGGCAGACTCTTCCTGATGGCAGAATATGACATTATTCAAAATGGACTTTGACACACCTAGGGCTGTACAGACCTCCATGTCAATATCGATACAACGTCCACTGATGTCTACACGCTAAAGGGAATGCATATAAAGCAGAAAACAACAAATCAGTTATGAAGCAGGAACATTCAGTGCACTCAATGATCAAGGAAAAGACACTGTAGATATGCCATATTTGCCTGCCACTTGTTTCAATTCCAAACTTCAGCAGGAAGATTATGATTAAATTCTTTGCTAGAGACCTTTACTAAAACTGAAGTGATATACATTGCAATGTAACTTTGGGAATTATCAATTGTGGGGACATCCCACATAGCACGCAGCTTCCACCGGTCTTTTAGACAACACTCACTCCTTAGTGAATATCGCATTGCTGGACGTTTCATTCATATTTATACAAGCATGCACTGCAAATTTCCGCTCTGCATTTTCACTAGCCAATCAGCGCTCTGCTCCTCAAATGCAAGTTTCGCTCCGCCCACCGAGCATGGTATAAAAGGCGGAGCCCAAAACTCGCAAGAGCAGTGAACACATCCGGCTCAGCACGTTCAGCCATCAACTCTACACTGAGATCGGTCGTCCGAGACATCAGCTCCTCACTTCAGCTCTAGTTGCCACAGGTCTCCAGCGACCAGGCAACCGAAGCAGCAGCAGCAAGTCTCCAGCGAACGCATCTTCCGCAATGCCAGCAACCGGCCAAGCTAGCCCACCCTACCGGCGCACGCAGCACTGCCTCACTGTCTAGACCGGCCAGCTAAACGGCCGTAAGACTCAGCCCACTACAGAGGAGTGAAATTGCAGTGGAACAAACTGCCCCTAGAGGGCCAGCTAACGATTCAACATTCTACATATATTCCATGTTACATATGTACATATATTCCATTTTGTAAATTCAGTTCAAATAATTCAATATGTATACAAGTGTTAAGAGTTTCAAGTGGTTGTCATTTCAAAAATCGACGATCCCACATCAACTAATCCATGTTATGCGAGTCTCATCACCACAGCATGAAAAGGGATGGTCCTCCAGTTTCGAGGTTGGGTGTGGAATTAATAACTACTCACTTTATAAAACAAGCACGTTACAAAACGATACACAGGACCATGAGAGAAAATGGGAGCAGATCAAATTCGGGGAATGCGTGCTACCACTCGGTTCAGAATCTCCTGTCTTCTGCCCAATATACAAGTATAAAAACATTAAGATCTAAGAAATCTCAGATATTAGTTTTTTAGTGCACCACAAGGAAAGGAGCTGGTATATGAAGCATGAAGAATTAGCTATCCTTCATGTGAGCATTTTAAGAATGTGGAAGACATGTAGAGTAGCTGTCTGCACCAGCTTATGTACGCAAAAAGGGCACTGACCCAGAGATTGACTGCAGAGTTAGGAGAGCATTTTGGTGAGTCTTTGAACAGTCTGATCCAGGCTTTCAGGCTAGTCAGAGTAACATAGCCAGAGAAGTCTGACAACAAGGAATTTATGAAGAACAATCCCCCGAGTCGCCACCATGGATGCTACAGCAGGGAGGTCTTAATCTCCGAGCAGAAGGGTTATAACATTATGATTCTTCATAGGGACTTAGTGAAAGACACCCTGCAGGATGCACTAAGAAATTCTGGAACTGTAAAAATTGTAAATTAAAGTTTGGATAGTCAAAGAACCATGACCTTGTTATTCAAAACCTTATTCCCCACCTACAACCAATTCCCTGAAGATATTAGAATACAGAAAACATATGAATGATCTGGTGGCAGCTTTCATGTGGAGGAAGATTCCACAGAAATTTGGGCAATGGTTGGTTGGGAGTGACTGTTACAAGAGCACAAAAGTGGCATGTGTAAGAGCTGCTCTCACAATCCAGACACAACAGCAATGCCGTAACAATGAGATCAAAATGTACAGAACCATGAATGTGCCTGTAGTTCTCTGTGGGTTAGAAACTTATCTCTCACATTAAAGGTATGACATGGGCTGGGGTGTTTGAGAACAGGAAGCTGAGGAGGACAACAGTAGGCTGGAGAAAGCCGCATAATGAGGAGCTTTGTAAATCGTCCTCCTCACCAAATATTATCAGAATAATAAGATCAAGGAAGATGAGACCAGTGGGGCACATAGCATGCATGGGACAGAAGTGTATACAATTTTTGTTGTAAGGAACAACTAGAACTATTTAGACACACATGGCAGGATAACATTATAATGGATCTTAAAGAAACAGGATGGGAGGATGTGGACTGGATTCATCTGGCTCAGGATAGGAACCAGTGGTAGGCTCTTGTAATCATGGCAATGAACCTTCAGGTTCCATAAAATGTTGGGAATTATTTGGCTAGCTGAACAACTGTTGGCTTCTCGAGAAAGATTTGCCTTCATTTGTTAATCAATTCCGTTAAGTTTGGCTGGCATCTCACTTGAACATATTGTGGCATGTCTGCTGAAAGCCAGAACTGTGAAGCCAGCAGAGACAGCCATTGCTAGGGAATGGCCTTGTAAACATGCCTGTTGGATGGCTCAGTAGCCATCATGTAACAACTGCAACAGACATACACACAACAATGAAAGGGCTGTTGCAAGCAGTGTTTTCTGTGCAGTCCATGAAAAGGCTATATAATGAGGATCAGCTGCCATTACCAGTGAGTCAAGAGAAAGTCTGCAGGAATATAGTCAGTCGGGAATTGCAGAAGCTGGTAGGTGAGGCCGGGGACAGTTCGGGAATCCAGAGGAAGGGGAACATCCACCACTGAAAGCTCCAACCAAGCAGAGCAGTGAAGGCCCTGGCTGAGAACACTAGTCTGAGTGTGACATTCATGAGTTGTTTTAAGAGTTCAGTAAATCCAATTACCAATTCAAACCCCATATACAGACACTTTATCACATGACAATATAAATAAATTTGTAAACTGAACTCAAGTATGAATTGAAAGATGTTTCAAGAGAAGAGATAAATATCTGTGGCATGTAAGAATCTGTTGCTCAATAAACAATCTTTCTAGAACTTCAGCAAAATTTAATTAAAGCAAATTTCAACCTCATTATATATTCACTAAAGTAAAATAAATGTTTTAGAAAACATGTTCACTCAGCAACGTAAGGTTTCTGTCGAATTCTTGAACCATATTTTAATGTAATCCTGAAGTAGGTCCTATCCAACTCTTTTATCTCTCTACAGAATGAGTAGTTGGCACCTAATGCCATAGGATGGTAACAGGCTTTCCAGTCTTGTGTGCAGTTCCAACTTTTGTCAATTTTTTCTTCATTACTTATACACACATATACTTCCGTCTCACATACAACTTTGTTTTTCACTTACGCTTCCTCTCTGCTACATGTTTTGGCCACACCCAGCCATCATCAGGCAACTGTTTATCTTGCTAAAAGCGTTACACTGTAGTTTCCACTGTACAAAGTTCCCGGAATGGTGGTACAGCACTCTAATGGTAGAACATATGGCAATGCTTACCTAATCACCTTCAAAGTAGGACCCTTGCACGCACACACACTTGCTCCATCAATCCTGCCATTGTTGGAAGCAGTGGTGGAAGGCTTCTTTTGGAATCTTCCGGAGCTCAGCCGCCGCATTCGATTTGATGTCCTCCATGGTTGGGAAACGTGTCCCCTTGAGGCCCTTGTCCCATTTTCAGAGTAGGGAACAGCCAAGTCACTCGGAGCAAGATCCGGTGAGTACGGTGGTTGAGTGATGACAGGAATGTTTCTCTCGGGGAGGAATTGCTGCACAACAAGCGATGTGTGGTTTGGTGTGTTATCGTGATGCAGAAACTGCTGTCCCTGCCACTTGTCGCGCCGCTTCTGCAAAACTTGCACATAGAAATGGCCACTAACAGTACCAACTTCTTGCTCCAACTCTGCGATGGCCATTCTTCGATCACATTGAATCAGTTGTTGCACTTACCAATCATTTCTTCAGTTCTGGATGTTGAAGGCCTCCTGCTGCGCTGGTCATCCTCTAACGTCTCCTGCCCATTCTTAAACTGAGAAAACCAGTTGTAAATTACCGATTTCTTTATTGCAGTATCACCGTAAACTTGCTGCAGGGCCAATAGTGTCTCTGAAGCAGATTTTCCCAATTTGCACATGAACTTGATGTTCGCACGCTGTTCGAACTGCGACATTGTGCCAAATGTCCAACACTCACGTCTAATTCAAACGGAACAGTAATGACACTGCACACTGAAACCTGTCCAGACCTGTTGCACCTGTGAGCAGACATGCTGAGCTTCCCACCACAGCAGTGTGTGCGCTATCGTATTGCTCGTTTTCCATCTGCAGGGGAATTCCGGGAACTTTTTGACTGACCTACATAATTAAAATGAATTATTTCCAATGTCGTTCCTTTTTTCGTCACATGTTCATAAAAGATATTTGAGTGCATTACTTGTTATATTTTCTTGCGCTGTTTTCCTCCTCCAGCATTGGTGTTTTCCGTAATGTGTAATGTTAATATTGCTTGAATGCCTCTACCAATCTTCACAGAACTTGGTGTGTGTATATGATACAACAATAAGCCAACTTAAGGGATACTTCATAAATCCCTACCATCAGTAACATCAACCCTGAAGCCTCTCAAATTGCTGAGGCAACACCTTAATATTGCTTGACCACCTGGTCCAATTGTCTTGAAGCTTGGTATGCATAATGCATATCATACCAACCGATGTCATCTCAACAGGATACTCCATGAACCCCTTCCTTCAGTAATACCAACATTGCCCCTCCTATACTACAGCCATCCTCATCTTCCCATGGTGCATCCTGTTCTCACTAATGAGGCTCTGGCAATAACTTTGCCATTTTAAATTGTTTTAATATATGCACAGTTTCAGGTTCTATAAAAATCAAGTTTATATTATTGTTTTACTGACACACACACACACACACACACACACAACAAAGTTTTGCCCCATTTGTCATATCACAAACTCAGTTCGTAGTGAAAGGAAACTAGAAACTACCTAGAATTTGTTGTTAAATATCAATTTAGAAAACTTGGAACATAAATGTTTTTATAAGTACTTGTCTACATACAGTATTATCACTGAATATATTTATCATAAGCACTATAGATATTATAACAAAAACATAAAATTCAAAGAGACACCTTGTCATACAAATGCTTAAAATATTAAAATCAGCTGACATGTTTAGGTATGTAATATTGCCTGTGAGAATAAGACTACAATCTATGAAACATGATTTCTTGTTTCTCAATAGCACAGTATAATTCCTGCCTTTTCATTTTCTAAATAATTACAAATACATGAGCAGTTGCCTAAGCTTCATGCCAGAAGAAAACCCTTTGCTTATTCTTGTGATATGAGGGAACAGTAATCAGTAAGAAGAAAGCAGTCTTCTGGGATTTGGCACCGTGTATATGTGGTGTTAACCGACGTTTCGGAGGAACGTATCGCCTCCATCTTCAGGGTAGAAGAAAAAANGCAAAACTGTTAACTGTTCACAAAAATAATCAAGAAAGCAGTTGCAGTGTTTCAGTTATTTCAAGGCTCGATTTATCTGTAATAATTCCCTGCTGATAAGTTATACTGCCTCTGTCATCTTTTTCAATTTCTATTCAAAACCATCAAAGAACTTACCTCACCATCACAGTTCATCCTGCTGAGAGTAGAATCCTTTGTTTTGAATTCCAACTTCTTTGCCTTTTGGGTCAGCTGCATTAAACGTGTCACAAGTAAGCTGTCACCTTTAAGACCTGTAAACTGTAGCTGTATGNCAGTTCCTCCGAAACGTCGGTTAACACCACATATACACGGCGCCAAAGCCCAGAAGACTGCTTTCTTCATAGTCACCGCCGTGAAAGCCTCAAATCTTACATAGCCTATTACTTAGTAAGAGAAAACAAACATATTCATAATAATAAACTGAAATATAAAGGGAAGGATTCTCAACACAATGGCCCAGTTATCAAGCTTTATCAGGATAAATTTCATCACCTCTAATAACGTAAATCCACAATGACATTATAAACCAAACTAAAAAAAGTAACACATAATATGAGGACAATAAGTTCTGTCAGAGGTATCATGGGCCTAGACATTGGCCCTGTCTCACTTGTAATCAGTCATGCACTCTTTGCAGTCTGACAGCCTTCTGTTAATTGGTCAAACAGTGCAGAACAAACCTAGCGGAGATCTCTCGTTTTCCAAGATCTTCCACTAAGATTTTGCAAACTGTCTCTGCTAATTTTAATCTCCTCTTCCATCATCAAAAGAGTGATTCAATGATCAGCTGAAATCAATTCCTGAACCCTTTTGATCATGTTAGATGTTTGAACAGCTGCTGGTCATCCACTGCATTTGTCATTTTCAAGATTTTCACGGATGTCCCAAAATCTTCCACATCGTTTAAAACCACATGTATGATAGTCAGCACTGCCATGATAAGCCTGTTTTACTAGCTGGAAAGTTTCAGTAGCTGTTCTGCCTGCCTTCAAATGAAACTTAATGTTTGCTCTTTTCTCCATCACTACGAACTATCACAACAATCTGCACAGTACAAAATCTTAAACATGACTGAGCATAAATAACACCAGAGAAGTGACTGACTTGTACACGGAACACAATAGAAGAGTCAGCTTACACGGACAAGTTTAAACATGTTCCTATACGCATTTTGGGGCACGCGGTAGCGTAGCTGGTTGACACACTATGCTACAAGCTGGAAGGTCACGAGATCAAATCCCGATGAGGTCACTGGATTTTTTTCAATTTACCTAATCCTTCCAACCGCACTATGACCCTGGGGTCGACAGCCTCTAACAGAAATGAGTACCAGGAATATACTTGGACTGTTCTTGGGGGTAAAGGGTGGCCGGCGCGTAACACTGACAACCTTACCGCCATCTATGAGCTGATTGTCTAGAAAATGTGGGAACCTCAACATCTCACAACCTTATGGGCCTCCACAGCCTGTTACTGGGATATCTTTACTTTACTTACTCCTATGTGCATTTAAATGAGCATAATGGACTCAGTCCCAGAAATGTTCTTCAAACCTTGTATCAAGCATTCCCATCCTGCGGTAATACGACTGCCTAAAACTGTTACTCCTGATGAATAATGCACCTGTATACTACCTAAAATAAAAACTACATCTCTTCTTGGTTTGAGTGGTGAATGAGTGTCATTTTGCCATTGCTATTTCCACCATTTTTAATCACATCTGGGTTAGGTACAGCTGTGATGATACAAAGTCAAAGTAAATTAATCATCACGAAAACATTTACAACTTTCAAGTCTAAAGCTGCAGCAGGAATTCAGCATGTGTCTCAGATTCAACAGCAATTTGCAGAGACTACAGGAACATCTCATACATCAGTTCAAAATATTTTTAAGGGAAACCAATTGACATAAGCTTACCCTCTTTTCCACTTCCGGGGGGGGGGGCAAAAACCGAATATTAAAAGCAACCCTGATGGCTGTCAGTGTGCCACAACTTTCACAAAACTAATCATTAACACTGTGGTCTTGTGGACTGTGGGCAGATACCAGTGTTTTGGAGAAACATTAATAACTAAGCCTGTCAAAATAATCTCTTTAGCTGTAAAACTCAGAAAATATTTTTATAATCATGTAATGCTCCATCTGGCAGAAAGATCACCACCGTTCTGTACAGGTGTGGTGGTACTGTTTAAACTAAAGATGGGAACCAACAAAACATAATGACTTACCTCTATTTTTCTTGAAATCTTTGGATCATGAACAAATAGCTGCCCTTGTTTAGCTCCTGGAGGCAAATCTCCTGATACTGCATACTTCAATGACTCGATTATAGTAGTCTTTCCACACCCATTTTGCCCAAGAATAAGAGTAAGAGGGGAAAGAAATTTTATACGTTGTGCATCTCCATCATCTGGGCCAAAACTTCGGATTCCTTGTATTAACAACCTGTCTAAGTGAGCCATGGTAGTGCTACAAAAGAGATAAAACACAATCAAAATAAAATATTCTAACATGAATACTGACATACAGTCAAAATATACTTATGTACATCCATGGCTAGGTCAGCAGAGGAACGTGTCACCTGGGATCAGACCTTAGCCCTTGGGGCAGGGCTGGTTTGGGCCTAGTACAAATCATAGCAATTGAACGTTATAGAGGGAATTTCAGGCTTTATCATACAATTACGTTTTTGTAAAGAAAGAGGTTATTTATAGTTACACTCATCTTATTCAAATGGCACAAAATGAACAGTTGACACAGAGAGTTGCAATGCTACTTCCGCATTGCAGAGTCACCAGCAAGCTGCAATGGGACTACACATGCACATTTACTGGGAAACCCTGGAAAGTGTCAGAGACAGCAAGGAGCAAAGTACTGATGACAAACCCAGCTGACTCCTGTAACCTGTGTGACACACAAACCAGGATCGCCACTACAGACTGCTCCAGAAACTGCAAGGTAAGGTGGGCAACAGAAACAGTAACCGATAATGAACACTGTTTAAGTGTTCAGTTATTTGTGTGATTATGATAAAGGACTATGTTCACCTTGCACATCAGCCAAATCAAAGCAGAACTGAAAACTTATTCACATATTTTTATCTAATTCTGAGATTCATACAATCAACACAAGACATAGTAATAACCTCCATTATCCCTCACGTAACTTAACTGTCTTTCAAAAGGGAACATATTATTTTGGAATTAAAATTTTTAATAAACTTCCACCTAATATAAAAGAACAAGCTCATGAGATTAAAAAATTTAGGTCTGCTGTTAGAAAGTTCCTATTTTTAAAGTCATTTTATTCAATGGACGAATATTTTAACTACGACAACAATTAAAGTTTCGGATTTGTTACAGGTGGTAGCTGATAACGCCTTATTGTTAGAGATAATGGTTTTTGTTTCATGTTGTATATTATTAAATTTAACTGGTATGACATTACACAGCTGTGTTGCAGTATGTGATTTACTCCTGTTGACTATTTCTATATCCATTGGTGTTAAACCATGCAAGGATTTATGGAATGCTGAATAAATGAAATGAAATGAAACATACACTGACAGAAATGGTCATGGTGAAATGAACCACGGTAATCATGTCTTCAAGTGCGAAGTGCAGCTACACAGATTAGTGCTGTTCAGTGCATAAAATGCCAGCCTGTTTTACATTATTTTCCCACAAAAATTAAAAGTTCACATTTAAATTACCATTGTTGTAAATTCACTACCAGAGGAATACTTATATCCACCACCTTCATGTATACCACAGTGAGTATGAGACAAAGTGACTGAAGCATATGTCTGATTCTGTTGCATAGACATTAGACCTTTGACACTGTGACTGGTTCTGGTTTCACAGATTGTTCCTCATCCTTAATAAAAATGGATCTGTTACACATCCTACCATAATATCCAGACATTACACAAAATTTCCAGTAATATCAGAATGAAGCTGAGTTGCAGACTTTTAAAACTGTCTTAAGCCAGATGTTCTCTCCAAGTCAACTTCTGCACCTAATTGAGGAACTAACATTCAAGCATTATTAGCACTGACGCACTGAAAGAAACAAAATAATCAGGCAGACTGTAAATAATATCGGGCTTCATTCAGGCTGGGGTAAAAGAAAGTTGGGCTTCAGATGAATGCAGGTAACATATTTGGAGGTAAATTTAAGGCTGAGGTTGGGTAAGGCTAAATGGCCCTCAGGCCAAGTTGGGTAAAATTTGAAAATTTTGGCCTCTGCAGACCTCTAGAGTCTACATAAGCTAATGTCATCAATCAATTGGGGAGAATTTCGAAAATTGCCATGTGCATTCCCTGCTCATATGAGATACAGCTTGTCAGTCTTTCTTGAAAAGGTGAGTTACTCATCTGATTAAGAAATTCCCCCCCCTTTTTCGAGCCCATCCACCCTTTTCATACTCTCTCTCTCTATGGTTGTCTTTAATATTATACTCCCACTTACTCCTACGTCTCCAAAATAGCCCATTCACTTCAGAACTTCTAACCAAAGCTCTGTAATCATTCTAATAATATTCAGTAATGAATACAAATTCTGAAGCCCCTCCGTATCATGTTCTCCCGAAAGATTAAAAGTTCTTACTAATACAAAACAAAGCTGAAATGAATGTTATAATCATTATTACATTTAATTATACAAATGAAAGTAGAGACAAACTACAGGACAGTATATTGCATCATATTGGTGGCGTGGTTTAAGGCACACCTATCTATAAAATGCCCAAGTTCAGAAGTTCTGAACTGGAATGAGACACCAGTCTGAAGAACATATCTGATAATTTACTGCCCTTACACTTGTTAAACTCACTTTCATTCACGAATCAAAACAGGTATATGGTATACTAACGTATTAAAATGTTACAGATAAGAAGTAGTGGAGTTATGACCTTGAACGATATTCATATTCTCAGAACACGAAATCCTGCAATACGATCACACAAATTCAGAACATTCTCAGAACACATAAATCTACAAAACTCAGCACCATACATACACATGAAACACATCTCACTCACCATGCGCTTCACGTAAACTCACACATTCCCGCGAAAATCGTTTCAAATCACTCACGCCCCGTTTAAGACAATTGATGTCATAGATGCCCAACCAGCGGGAACAGCATTCTGAGTGGCGTCACGAAACTCATTCGAGTATCGCACAATCATCTCTGCCTCTGAACTTCCACGAGTAGAGTAGTAAGCTTCCGGTTCCCTCCATTTTCCAAGCTGACCAGGAATCTTCAGTTACCGGTTCCGTCCAATTTCGAAGCTGACCAGGAATGATAAAAGATAGAGCGTGATCTGCAATAATGCGTGTAGAAAACGGACAAAATACGTGGGTAAGTCAAGAAGTAAGTTACAAATGGATATAAGACTTAAACAAATAAGAGTACTGATTTGAAAAATCTTTTTATTTCTCAACATAAACTATCTGTACATTGAGGCACTTGTCCCATCATTTCACAAGCCCCAGAAAACCAGCAGCATAAAATTTTTTGAGCTGTTGTCTGAACCAGGCGGTGACTTCCATACAGAAGGGTAACTATAGACACTATAGCCACTGCTATTGATTGTTCGCAGGGCATGGCCTGCCCCAATTCATGACAGGTTAGGTTTTCACAAAGTCTGTGCATGATGGGTGCTGGGTATGATGACCCCACAACACGAAATGCAAAGAATGGGTCTGGCATTACAGCATCTCAGTCGCTACCACGATGAAGGACATGATATGTTAGCCCGAATTGTCACAGGTGAGGAGGAGTCCTGGGTTCATTACCAGCCCAAGACAAAGCTTGCGTCAATGCAGTGGAAATATCCTGTGTCGCCTACCAAAAAAGTTTAAGGTGACAGCGCCTGGTTCTGACAGCAGCCCAAAGAATTTTATGCTGCTGATTTTAAGGGGCTTGTGAAACGATGGGACAAGTGCCTCAATGTACAGGGAGATTATGTTGAGAAATAAAAACATTTTTCAAATCGGTACTCTTATTTGTTTAAGTTCTGTATCCATTTGTAACCTACTTATTGACTTACCCTCGTACGTTGTAAGATGAGGCACTGGCCAAACAATGTCAAATGTATACTACATCTACACCACGGGCCTGCAAGCAGTTTACTATGTGTATACAAATCTAGAATATACCATTATGTCTGCAGGAATATAACAACTTTCAACTTTATTTTCGTCCATAACTGAAATGAATACAATTGGACATGTCAAGCAATAATAACGAATACAACACACATCAAAATCACTCACCTTTTTTTTTTTTTGCTAAAATAATAAGGAAATGGTTTATTCATTGAACGTAAAATTTTTGGGTGTTTATTACTGAAAATCTAAGCTGGGAAACTTCCACTCAATACATATGCCAAAACCTCAAAAAGGCTCTTTATTTGATTAAATCCTTATGTGACTTAGTTAGCCAACCTGTATTAAGAAATGTTTATTTTACTAAGTTTGAATCTATTGAAATATGTTATTATTTTTTTGGGGGTGGGGGATGGAAAATATTAAAAATACAGAAAACTGTAAGAGTGATTAAAGGTGTTTATAATAAAGTATCTTGTAGAAATATGTTTGGTGAATTTAAGATTTCAACTGTTGATTCATTATTATATATATTTGAGATTTTATGTTTTGTAATAAGGAATAAGATACATACAACTCAGTATTCTGACCTTCACAGCTACAATACCATACATAAACATAATTTGTATGGACAGTTTTGTTGAACGTTAGAAAAAAAGTGTAATTAATATGGGAACTAAGATTTCCTTCCCCTTGAATTGAGAAGTGTTAAAAATTTTAATGTGTTTAAGAGGAAACTAAAAAATTATTTGCTGTGCAGCACTTTCTATTCTCTTCAAGAATTGTTCAGCTAATATTGGATTGATGACTAGCTTGTTGATTGTCTTTTGGTTTGCAATTTTTAATATTGTGTTTGCATGTTTCATATTGCTGAAATTTTTTATTGTTATGTTCCTTATGACGGTTGCTATATTATAGTGATAAATCACTGTAAATTTTATGTGACTTTGACATGTGATGAATTTGTTATTTCCTGACACGTCCAATTTGTTGTATTCACTTCAGTTATGAACGAAAATAAAGTTGAAAGTTACACTTGAAAGCTATAAAAAACGTATTTTTTTGGTTACATTAATGTATTATAAAACGTGTAGCACAAGTCAGTGCTGCGTCATTCATGGCGTTTTGCAGGGGCACTAATGGACGAAGCTCAGGCAACATGGAAGCAGACCATGGGCAGTGGTGGACTGTGCAGTTTCTCTGGCGGGAAGGAGCGACTGCTTCACACATTCACATGAGGTTAGCAGCCGTGTGTGGGGAAGCAGCACCAAGCCATGCGGGTAAAACCTTCACCTCCAACGACAAGCTTCAGGTAGTTTTCCCACAGTGGCGCCAGGATACCCAGAAAGAAGGGTTTGCTATGCAAATGTGGAAACTGCCAGAATGATGGCAGAGGTGCATAGACATTGGCTGGAAATACCTCTAATATAATCTCTATGTATTTTGTTCCAATAAATGGTTACTGTGAAGAAAAAACATTTAATGTCAATCAATTTTGAACTCCCCTGATACAATGGAATATTCTTATGCACCTTGCTAAATTATTGTTGTGGTGTGCCAAGACCTGCTATGCACAGTAGCAACTTATCACACACCTACTTTATTCCTGCATTTACAATAAGGAAACCAAGTCTTGTGGTATGTATGATAGAGATAGTGGTAAGCTGTGGCGTTCATTATGTATACAATATGAAGAATTTTCCCTTTCTCTTAGTGGTATATTTTGCACAGCTATTAACGCCTATTTTACTTGTATGGCATGTATTCAGAACTTGCAATGTAGAAAAATACAGTTTAGTAATGCAGGCAAGTAATAATCATATACTGACCTCATTTACCAACAACCTCCCCAATTAGTTTATTTTCTTCAGTTAATTTTGATGACGCATGAATTATAAGCTGTTTGTAGACACTAAAAGTTCTGTGCTGTCCCCTGCATAGACTGTATGGTGGCATAATATATATTTAACACAGTTTCAAGAAATATTTGAGGGTTCATACCCTGTCGTTGGGCTTAGAGAAGGATCGCGCTTTGCTTTCTGTTCAATCCACATGCTGTTCACTGTTTTCAACTGCACTTTCATCACCCAACTGCTTAATAACTGATGGGGGTGGAGCCAGTTCTTGCTGCTCTTTCCATTTCTGGCTGATATCACATTTATAATACAAATTTTTGTTATGATAAGGATATTGAAGCTTGTGCTGTCTCTGTTAATAATGCTAGTCTTAAAATTTGTATTTTAACTATCTATAGATCGCCCTCTGGCAATTATGATAAATTTTTGGGTAAATTAGAGTTAATTCTACAAAAATTATGTAAAAACAAGGCTAAAGTATTTGTCTGTGGGGATTCGAATGTTAACTATATGGACAATATCCATAAAAAACTAAATTGGATGATATTTATAGTTCTTTCAATCTAAGAACTATTATAAATTTCCCCATTAGAATTGAACCAAAATCGTTTTCAATTATTGATAATATATTTATTGTTGAACGACAGTTTACTAGCTATGAGGTTATCTCCATGTCAAGTGGATTATCTGATCATGAAGCTCAATTATTTATTGCACATCTTCCTGTATTTTGAACTATAAAAAAAAAGAATTACTAATTAAAAGGAAAGTAAATAACATTGCAGAATTTAAAATGAAATTAAGTTATGAAAATTGGGAATCAGTTTTTAACAATAATGACATCAATGCCAGTTTTAATAAATTTTTAAATATATTTTTGAGATACTTTTATGAGTCATTTCCTATAACTACAGAACTAAAATATAAACAAATCATGAATAACAACTGGTATAGAGATATCCTGTAAAAAGAAGAGGGCATTGTATGATGAAGTAAAGAAAGGTAATAACCCAATTATAATACTTATAAGAATTACTCTAAAATATTAACAAGAGTGATAAATCAAGCCAAGAAGATGTCATATGATAAGCAGATTAATAACTCAAGAATAAAGTTAAAACAACTTTAGAATAATAAATAATGAATTGCTAAAGAAAGCAAATAGTGAAAATATTTATACACTTAATACGGAAGACAAAGAGACTTTTAACTTAATTGATATTGTTAATACATTCAATAAATATTTTACTGAAGTAGCTTATAACATTCATAAACACATAAAAGAAAATGGTCCAAATGACAAATCCAAACCTATGAGCTATATGACATACTTGACTAATGCATTTGAGAGTCCTTTTCCGAGCATTAAAATAACTAAAACTACAAGTAGAGAAATTGAAAGGATTATATTGTCCCTTAAATCAAGCCAATCACATGGGTATGATGAAATATCGAATAATATACTTAAAATCTGTAAAGCCTTTATTAGTGAACCCATTAGCTTCTTATGTAACAAAGTTTTGTTTGAGGGTATTTACCCTGATAGACTAAAATATGATACTATTATACCTATTTACAAAACAGGCGATAAGAACTTGGTATCAAATTATAGACCCATCTCCATATTAACATCCACCAGTAAAATTTTTGAGAAGGTAATGTATAGTAGATTGATAAAACATTTGAAGGAAAATGGTATACTAAGTAAATATCAATTTGGTTTTAGAGAAAATGGACTGAAAATGCAATATATTGTCTGATCTCGAGAATATTAGACTCGTTAAATAAAAAAATGCAAGTCAGTGGGATTTTTTGTGACTTAGAAAAGGCTTTTGATTGTGTTAGCCATGAAATATTAAACAAATTAAGGTACTATGGAATAAAGGACAAACAATATAACCTATTTGAATCATATCTTTTAAACAGAAAACAGAACTGAAATTTTTAATGGACTAGATAGAAGCAAAGTAAACTCAAGGTGGGATAAAATGACCAATGGTGTCCCACAAGGATCCATTCTTGGACCATTGCTGTTTATAATATATATTAATGATTTACCAAAGATATTGGAGGCGATGAGTACACCCATACTTTTTGCTGATGATGCCTGTGTGTTAATTTCTCATGCAAATACAATAAAATTCAAAATCAAAATAAATGAAGCATACAGGATTTTGGATGATTGGTTTAAAAAGAATTTAATGTCTCTCAATATAATAAAAACGTACTACATAAACTTCACTGCAAGAACTAGGTGTGATAGGGATATGGGAGAACTTGGTGCTACTATAACATGTGCTAATTACACTAAATTTCTTGGCCTGACAATCCAAAATGACATAACTTGGGATGGTCATATATAAGACATAATAAAGAAACTGAACAAAGCCTGCTGTATGATAAGAAATGTAAAACAAATAGTCTCCATGAAAATAATAGAAAGTGTTTACTTCTCATATTTCCATTCTGTCATGTCATACGGTATAATGTTCTGGGGTAACTCATCTTATGCTGAAAGAGTATTCAAGCTACAAAAGAGAGCTGTAAGAATAATGAAAGGATGTGGTTTTAGAGATTCATGTAGAGAACATTTTAAAGATATTTATATATTTCCATTAACATCACAGTACATATACTCCTTGATGATGTTTATTGTAAAAAGCAGATAAACATTTGATACAAACAAAGCTCACTATGAAATTAATACCAGATACATTATGAACATACACATGACCCAAGTAAATTTGGCGATATATGTAAATGGGGTGTATCACATGGTGGTAAGGATTTTTAATGCACTTCCCAACTCAAGCTAATTTCAAAGGATATAAGAAAGTTTAAAGACAAATTAAAGGAATTTTTATATTTTAATTCTTTTTATACATTGGATGAATTTTTTATGAGATGATGTTTTATGGTTATAATATATAATTATTTAAGCAATATGATAGTTGGATTAAAGTTTCTTTAGTAAAGAACTTAAACTATCTGACAAAACAGGTTTTATGTGATTAAGCCTTTTTAAATTGTACATATTATTACTTGCATTTCTTATTACCAGTTATACTCAATTTGTTATCTTATACTGTCAGTGTTTAGTTACAGCTATTATCATTAATTATATTAACACACTAAACTATTTCTTATATTATAAACTGGTTTTTAGATAATTGCTTCAATGTATAAACAAGATTTGTACATAATATTTTGACTGAATTTTTTATTCTGAAATTGTCAATGTTTTTACTGTTTTTAAGATTAATTCTTTTATGACTAATGTAAACCTTATCTACTATTAATTGTTTTTTGACAGCTGCTTGATTGATAAGCAAGATGTGATTAAGCTACTTGACAATTTCTATATCTAATTTGTTGTTTATTGACCTTTTAAAGATCTTATGGAATGTAAATAAATGAATGAATGAAATATTCAATTTGCACACGTGCAGCATTAAATGCCTTCAAGACATGGACAAAGAAATTCATTAAGAGCTTCAGTGCAACAGCATATTAAAAGCAACAAGCACTTCTTGTTACTTATTTTTGATAATACATTATTAGTAACTTAATGTACAAAGTTACATGTTCTGGGCATTTTGGTATAATTGCTTTCCAAAAATCAAAGATAAATTTATTCCTCTATGGTATTTATATTTTTTTCAAGTAGATTAACGTCAGCTTATTGAATGTATATAGGGTCAGTAATTTTAGGCAGAAATACATACAGCTGAGCCATTAGTACCCGATCTAGCCCTTTTGTGGTTGAAATTGCTATTGCAAAGTTGGAAAGGTATAAATCGCTGGGTAGTGATCAAACTCCGGCAGAACTGATACCATCAAGATGAAAAAAATAAGGTTTAAAATCCATAGGTTAATTGATTCAATTTGGACTAAGGAAGAATTGCCTGTTCAGTGGAAGGGGTCTATTATTGTACCAGTTCACAAGAAGGGTGATAAGACTGACTGTAGTAATTATCGGGGGATATCACTGCTATCAACTTCATATAAAATTTTGTTCAATATTCTTCTTTCAAGGTTAAGTCCATATATAGATTAAATTATTGGGGATCATCAGTGTGGGTTTCGGCATAACAGATCAACTACAGATCAGATCTGTTGCATTCGTCAGATATTGGAGAAAATATGGGAATACGATGAGAGAGTACATCAGCTATTCACAGACTTCAAGAAAGCCTATTATTCAGTTAGGAGGGAAATATTTTACAATATTCTAATAGAGTTTGGGATACCCATGAAACTAGTTAGGTTGATTAAAATGTGTTTAAACGAAACGTATAGTAAAGTTCGTGTAGTTAACATTTGTCTGATAAATTTCCTACCCAGAATGGTCTAAAACAAGGAGATGCTTTATTGCCACTCCTTTTGAACTTTGCCTTAGAATATGCAATTAGGAAGGTCCAGGGAAACCAGATGACTCTGATATTAAATGGGACACATCAGCTGTTGGTCTACGTCGATGATGTGAATCTACTGAGTGATAATGTAGATACCATAAAGAAAAACGCACAAACTTTAATCGACACAAGTAAAGAGGTTGGTCTAGAAGTAAACACAGAGAAAACTAAGTATATGTTACTGTCTTGTCACCAAAATGCAGGGCA